TTTTTTTTTTTTTTTTTTTTTTTCAAGAGGGATTACATTTTGCAACAATAATCATACGAGTTATTATAATAATTGCACGCCTACACGCCTCCGACGACGACGGCAAACATAACATAACACGCGGTATACTGCGCGCGTACGTAATACGAATGTAACGCAAAATATTATAATATTTCATAGTGAAAGCGCGAACGGTTTTCGCACGGAGCAGCGTAGTGTTGCCGACAGAACTGAAACCGCGGCGGCGCGCGCGGTCGTTTACGTGCTCGACGAGCGAACACATCGGGCGACGCGATTAGTGGCGCGCACGTCGAACAAATAACAATATTAGTAATAATAACAGTAATAATAATAACAATATTAGTAATAATAATAATAATAATAATAATAACAAACGTCCTCGAAAATACGCGCGGTGGCGATTTGCGTACGCCGCGCGTTTAATATCGTAATTCGCATCGTTAACAATCGACAGAGATCGAGAACGAGATTATCGTTACACTTGCACGCTCTAATATTATAACATATCGTTCGCATAAACAGAAAACAATATTATCGTGTATATTTACATAATATTAGTGTGTACGATGTCTGTTTGAACAATAATCTGTTATTATCGTGTACGAAATCGATACCGTCGGAAATTAATATGCACACCCCTCCCCCCCGGGGGAGGGAGGGGGGAGTGGGTGGGTGGTAAGGCAAACGGAAACGACAAAAATATAGCGGATATTTTTAATCGGTCGACTGATAAAACGGATTATTGTACACGTCCGAGTATTGCTATAAAGCGAATCCGACAACATCAATAATAACTGTTACACTGCGGCCGTCACCGGTGAACGGGTTCGCGAAAATTTAGTGAATTATTCGTAAAGTGTGGCCAATTTTGAACCGCAGGTAACAATCGCAAAAAAACATCATAAAGACTTGGAGTGTTTGGCGAGAAAACCATCTCAAAGATACGCGAAATAGCATAACATTATAGTGGGTTCTCCGGCTGTATCGCAAAAACGAATTTTAAATACTAACGATAAAAACCGAACGATGTACGCGTGTCCAAAATTCGTAGATTACATTCCTTCTAAAGTCACTGTAATCATAACGAAACGTGTACGTAAAAAATAATAATGCAATACGGTTTTCGCAGAGAAAAAAAAACAACTCGTATCGACAATGCTGCGGTCCGTTTCTCGTTTGTCGTATTTCGTTTTAACGAGAAAGGGCGAAAAAAACACATTCCGGTCCGCGTATATTCTGACGGGTCCCATACCCGAGTTTGGGTCGAACCGACGCGTAACCGAGTCGGTTCTGAGGGTTTCAGGAGGTTTTACAAAACTTAAACTGTCCACCCGCAGGATTCTCGATTCGAGCCTGATGCTCCGAGAAAGTCGTATCGTCCCAAAGCTTACTACCTCCCGTATAGTTCACGAAAAACCACCGCGGGTTAAGATAAAGCAGCGGGGAGGGCGGGAGAATACGGAAAAACTCGACCTTTAAGTATAGCTGTCGCAAATGTACGTGTAGACGATCGAAAACTCAGTTTGTAAATATACGTAACGCGTTTCGAAATAATAATTATAAAAAAAAAAAAAATGGAAATATTATTAATATAGCTGTTAACTGTGGAAATCGCAGAGGAATACACCTACACACATACCTCGATGTAGAAAAAAAAAATCGTTCGTATATTTATACAATATTAAATTTGTAGTCGTATGATTATTGTTACGAAAGTTATTTTAATACTTTCGAACTGCTGCTGCAGCCTCGTCCACGTGCCCAAGAAGAGATTATCGGAGATTATAATCACTCCGCGGTTATTACTGCCGGATATATTATATTTTATTGACGTTCAGATTAATATCGTCGGCCGCATGTGGTATAGCGCGATAATAATTATTACTAATATATATAATAGGTAAATGCAGGAACGGTATAAGCCGAGCGCGAAAAGGACGTCGACAACGCCGAGGGGAAGGGAGGATGGGGGAGGGGACGAGGGGTGGCTGGCAGGGGAGGTTTAGAATCACTGCCGTCGATATTATAGTAATATTATAAATGCGCGTATATAATAACAATGCAAACACAGTGTATCCTCGAAACCCATCACATGTATAGGTACGAGTGTTGTTGTTATTACCGTACGAGTACGCACACGGAGGCGGAACAAACATTACGATATTATAATATTGTAACAAGAGTATAATATAGGCGATATTGGATACGTCAGATTCAAGACTCCTTCTCGGCCCCCCAGCGCGTAAAGGGGTAGGTGGAAAGAGGAGACGGTTTGGCGTCGAGCGACGAGATAATAATAACGAAACGACCGGTCTTTTTGACGAGCACAGATTTATACTGTTATACAAGCGGATCTAAAACGGAAATTATAGTCTCGCGATAACTATGATCCGGTGTAACGATTTCCACGAAACCCATCAACAAATCTGTAACACGCGTATTTTAAAAACTAAAATCGAACATCGGGACTCGTGTGTCTTCTATACGATTTCCCAACGCCGATATGTCTAGACTCTAAATCCGGCAATGTCCGGTGAATATTTTCAGAGATTGTATACAAATTTTCGGTTTTGCCCCGTCGATTTACACCAGAAGTTTCCAAACATTTTTTTCGCACGTATTTATAGTAACAAATGACGATGCACGCGTTTTTTTTATTCGATAGCTCTCGTTGACACCTATTTACATCTCATGCATTTTTGTATTCGTTAACATGGATCCCTTGCAGATCAGAATGACTCCTTTGGGAACCTCTGATTTACACCGTCCGATAAACGGTCAGCGTTCAACCCGCGATCGCGGGGGAGGGGGAGTCGTCGATTCGAGTAAAATCGAAAAACTCTAATGAAACGTAATATTATTTAGGTTTGAAGCGTAAACACTTTTAGTTTATCTTATTTGGTTTTTTTTTTTTCCGGACTTCTTGAAATACTAAGTAATAATATATCGTCGGGGTGCAATTATTATAATAAACGGACGCTAAACAATGTAAACACAGTGATAATGATTAATGATAATATACGAGTTACTAAGTACCACAGATATTTGTCCCCGTTCGTTTTCGCGGCTATCACAGCACGTCGCCGCCGTCGACGTCGGTCTCGTGTTTCGTCTTCACGTTTTATCTTCGGATTTTGTTTATTCGGTGTACGCGGCTTATGTGCAACACGATATGTTTACGTTTTATTCTGGTTTTATATGTATTATTCGTATGCAATAAACGTCGAATTTCATTATTTCATTTCGTATAGTACTCCGGTGTTCCGCCGAAGCCAAAATTAAATTTCGAAAATTATCCGACGACAAAATGACGTGATATGGCTAAAATACTAACGCTGCCCAAACCAAATATGGGCGTTTTTAAATCGTAAATTGTATCATATTATTATGTCGATAAGTACGACATATTAGACCGTGCTTAGCGAAAATTGTTATCTTTTGCAAGCTAGAAATTAAATGTCACCTGTCCTTTCCATCACGATTACCATCCTGTCCTCATAAAGCTTAATCTTATATCCTTAGCAAATCTTAGACACGCTGTTAACATTGTATTCCTCCAAAGACTTTTATCCGGCGCCGTCGATTCTCCCGCATCCCTACTCTCTTTCATTAACTTTAAAATACCATCCCGAAGCATTCGCAATTCAGACCCATTTATCATCCCACTTCATACTATCTTAGTAATGATAGCCTATAAGTCGTATTATGAAGCTTGCCAATGACGACCCCTCATTTAATTTAATTTGATTTGTATTTGAATTGATTTGATTTTATGTGTATAGCCTATTTAATTTGTCTTTTTATTTCTTCTTACGTTATTACCATATTGCACTCATTTATACTTATTATATTTTATATTAAAATATAGTTTATTAATACAACATTTTTCTGTTACACCATTGTTGGGCGCGAGTCTTTATAAAATATAAATAAATAAATGTCGTTATTATGAAAAAAAAAAAAAATAAATAAAATAAAAAAATGGTCGAAAGGCCTTTTCCCCCACGACCAGAGACAAAACGAAATATTACTAATATCACAAAGGATATTAAAGTGGTCGACGAAACACGAATTAAAGCCGATTGACACCGAATAAACGCTCTCTCGAAAAAGTATAGCGTTAAAAACGGAAAAAAAAAAAACGAATTCGGAGAATAGGTATTCGAAAAGGAACAATTTATAATATTTATAATATTGTATAGTGGCGAAGATATTAACTTCCCGGGCCGCGTACCGACAAAAAAAACCGCCAAACGAGCAAACGTAGTAGAGATAAAGACAAAATAAAAAAAATTCCGATAAAAAAAAAACTGCGTATCGTTTTCGTCGTGTCGGGCGGTCCGGAGTATGAATCGGACGAACGTGTGGGGCCTTCTCTACTCGGTGGCGGCGACGATAATAATAATCGTATAGCAGACGGCGGTTCCGAGAAGAAAAGAACACACGGAAAAAAAACAAACTAGGAAAATCGCTAAGTCGACTGGAATATTTTTATTTTAAAAAAGGAAAAAAAAAGCATACACACAGAACTCGGATTTCGGTCACGACCGCTCACCGTACACAGAGACGTCACCGTGTTTTTACTTTTTCTCGTTTGAAAATTACAATATACGAATTTATTGACCTACACTCATAAATTACACACGAATTCATTACTAATTCGTCAATATGACGCGTAAACTACCGCCGGTGGTGGAGGGAGGGGAGGGGCGAGTCGGCAAAATGTGGATACGTCTTTTCCTCTCCTGATTTTTCCTGCGCTCGCTATGTAAAAGTCCGGTCGGAATGTCGTTTTATTCCGGAGTCGTTTGCACCAAACGATTAGTAGACAAAAGTAACGAAACTCTAAAGGCACGGTACATTTTGGTTATTTATTTTCTACTTGTGGCCGTTTATACTATTTGCACGTGATTAGATACGATCGTCGGACCGTTTTTTAAATCGAGAAAATCCGACTGGATTGATTATTCCCCCATCGAAAATCGGTTTAGCCGGTGATGCATAATCATTTTTTTTTTTTAATTCGGGCCTCAAAAAATATACAATATCGCGGGGGTGGCGGTCGATGAATGTCATTTTTCCCTCCCACAATTGGCCTTTTCCCCTCCAGATCCATCATCCTTGCGATGAAATAAAATATAATCGATCAACTAGGGCTTGGCTTTCCGACGAGGGTACAGGCTGGGAAGTGAGGGTGTGTGTGTGTGGGGGGGGGTAACCAGTGGCTCAATTGCAAGGCGAACGACTGTACAGTCGAACGTGTAACGAAATAAAGCAGGATATACTTCGCGCGCGCCATGGATAGGCCGCTGTTGTAGATGGGAAGCTTGCAGAAAAGTTACATGGAGGATTATAAAATATATACTGCAATCAGCGATAGATCAATGCAAACGAAAAACGATTCTGAAGTGAGCTCGGTGACCCGGTAACGTAGTAATAATGGTCGTGTTTATTTTCCGTCTGTTATCGGTCCTTTTTTAAAAACCGTCGGTACAATATTGTTTCCAAATAAAATATTAATGGCGCGAGTAGACCGCGCGTCTATATTATAATCGAAGCGGTTTTATTGGTCTGCAGAAGGAGGTTCGTCGAAAACAAATATAGATTACCGAAAAAACGCGATTATTCGCGATCGCAACGGTTTTATAACGTCCGGTCAGAAAAAAAAAACTAATAATAATAATAATTCTCCCCATTAGTAAATCGCCATAACGCGACATCGGTGGCGCGGGGGGCAGGAAAACGGCCACTTCGGAAATCTGAAACTTATTTTTCACGCGTTGTTTACGCTCGTATTATAATCATTTTTTCACCCCGCTCTATTATAATAAACTTGCATTATAAATGCCGTCCGACGCCCACGTCCATTTTTATACAAGTACCCGAGGTAGAATATTTTTCAATATTTTTTCGGCGGACACTCGACAATCCACTTTGACGTTGGGCTTTTATACAATTATAAATTACCGCGCGCGCGATCCGCCTACACTGTGGCGGCCGCAGTCGCGATGGCAAATCGCCTGCCAGACTGTTTCGTGCGAATTGTCCGCGGACCGATACCCGTTTGTTTTTTCGGCCATTATCGGTGACGTCAACGCTTATATTTACGATTCGTTATACTCGGATTCCTATCGTACGTCATATTATACGTGCCTATACGGTTTAAAGCGTTTAAACTCCGTTTCAGAATGTACACAGACAATTATAATATTCTGTATTGGGATCCGTGTGTAAGACGGGTGATGGGGAAGGGGGGGGGATTTCTATCCGAAAATAGAAATTGAACATTCGCCCGAGGTGTACAAGAAGTAAGGGCGAAATATGTGAAACATCGTTAAAATCTTGTTGACTAAAGGATCGCGTTATAATGGCTGGAAAAAAACCTCGAATAAATCACCGACGGTTCACGATTGAATGGACCGCGGTATAGTACATACCGGTAATAGTGGAATGAGAAATTCGCGATGGAATAATACCAATTATTGACTTAGCGACCCGTGACGAAAATCCCGACGTTTTTTTCACGATAATTATTATTATTATTTATTTTTAATCAACGGCTATTTAAATTGCCACCGCCGCCGTTCGGATTTATAATAATTACGTATTCCCAGCGGTTTAAATTTGTTTTTAACAGAACTCGCGTTCGGAGTTATTATGATTATTTAGCGATAATAAACGGATATCGATTCCCGTAGCGCCCCGACCCCCTCCCCCCACCGAATCGATCTGAATAAAAAACTAACGACGTGGTAAAAAAAACAAAAACAAAAACAAAAACAGAAAACAAACCGCGTTAATAATTATTAAAGGCGAACTATACACGCGGTAATCGATACGTATAAAAAAAAAAAAAAAAAAACCGCACGGAACAATGAATAAATGCGTTCCCGTCCCTGGGAAATAGCGTATCGTTTTTTTATCACGTATGGGTGAAAACAAAATGTATAGATAACGATTTATTTTCGTTTCGCGATAACGGAACGATATTTTCGTGGCCGAATGACCGGCGAGTCGTTCACGAGCGGTACACGCAATCGTTATCACGCCGTATGCGTTTCGCATACGAGAACCGATACGACAGAACGGGGTAAAACACTTTGCAAATACACGTCTGCAAACTCGGAATTTTTTTTTAGCGATTTGCGTACGAAATATTGCGTCGCGGCGGCGGAGCCACAAAATCGGAATCGCGCTCACGGGTCGCGCTACACACACACACACACACACACACACACACACACACACACACATACGGTTCGATAAGCGCATTATGAATCGCGGTGTCCGGCGTGCACGCGACCCGATTACACGGGCGCGGATACGCGACGAGGACGACAAACGATCGCGCGGCAAATGATCGATTGGGCGTCCGCGGTTCGGCCGTCGCCGCCGGTGTTTGCCGTGTACGCGATATTATAGTCCCCCGCGTGTATAATATACACGCACGCGGAAAACCGAGCGGCGGCGGTCAATCGGGCGCGTTCCGGAGGGGAGGTAGTTTGACGGCCGTAAAAAGGGACGGTTCTCGCAGGGACAGCCGCGCCGCCGAGAGCCGTTGCCTTAAATAATAATAATAATAATTGGAAGTACAAACTATTGCGCGAGAGAAACATTTGAAAGGACCGTCGACGACGACGTTGTCGGATGAGAGCGCGAGAAGGACGAGTAGCGGCCGCGGCGTGGGGACGAGGTGGTAAAAGCGGCGGCGGCGACGAGATTACGCGCCACGTCCCGCCCGGCGCATAATTGCTTACAAACAGCGCCCGTCATCCTGTGCCGCCGCCGCTCGAATTCTCCGGGCCATAAATAATTCATATTGCGTTATATCCCGACGCGCCGTCCCACCTCAGCGCCGTCCTTCTACCGCCGGAAAATGTCCCGGTGGGGCTGCTGCAGCGGGAGAGCCGACGTGCAGTAAACGCACAATGTCCTACCGTCCCCTCACCCCCCCCCCCCCGGCCATTTGCGCGCCGATCGGTCCGCCGCCGCCGGTATACAGGGTGAACCGAACGGTCTCGATTTTTTCGACGATATCGCGGGCTTCCTGCGACGGAAAAAACAAAACAATAGCGGTGACAATACCGGTACAGACCGCGATATCGGCCGATAATTTTGATATCAGAAGGGGGAGGGTCTGTCAAAACCATAATTTGACACGATATTTATCGGATGAAACGTCTATTCATAATATCTCCGAAATACGAAACAAGAACGTTTGGAAAAAAAAAAAATCGGGTTTTCAACTGACATGGATCGACGTTAATTCCGACGTCAATCAAAACACGGTTATCGATTCCGAACGTATCGCGCGAACGTCTCGGAACATCAACCGGGTATTGGGGGGGGGGAAACGCGTACACCTACGTGTGATACTGTATACGATCGATAAATAAAACGTGGGCGAAAACCCTTTGGTCTGCGATGTGTCGATGTTTTCCGCGCCGTTTCAAATCATAAACACGACGTATTCCGGTAAAATAATATTTCCCGTGTAACGCGAAAATTCAAGGAAACCCCGTCGATTGTCCCGCCGCCCCCGACTCCTCTCCGTTTCCATTTTTCCCCGAATCTCCTGCACGTCACACACGGTCCCCCTCCTCCCGCGCATCAAACGCCGCTCCGCGCCCCGCACAGAGCCCGACGGCCGACGGGCCGTATCAACTGTAACAACGCGCGACGATTTGCGCATCAATCGTCCGTCGAAAATAACGCGAATCGAATGTCGCGGCGGCGGTAACGAATAACGCCGCGGGCTAAACTTGTTGTGCCGTGTCCGTTCGTGAATAACAACACTGCGGTAAGCTCCCGTAACGGCGACCTTTGCAGTCGAGGCTCGGGTTAAAAATCCGAAAATAACATCGGGCGTGTTTCGGCGATTCCGGACATTGCTTTTGGCTACGGGTTACTGAAAAAAAAAAAAATCAAATCACGACCAAACGAATTGAACGGTTACAACGACGTTTGTGGTCGTCGATAAAGCCGCTGTTCGACATCTACGGCCGGTTTTTTTTTTTTGATTAACAATTAATATTGTACTATTCGCAACAGCCGTAAACGCGTAGTTCTCGCAAATCTACAACTGTGCCATTAATCAAAATCGTAAAACCATAACTGATAATGAATACGACCGGGTCAGTCGGAAAAACACATCGAATCAATTACACGAGCGCAATAATCGCGATCGGTCGAATAGAGCGGCTGCTGTCTGTTCGCACGGCCTACGGTAAAATAAATATCCGAAATCGAGGTGTTTTTTTTTTTTTAAACAAAAAAAAAAAAAAAGAGGTAAACCCCAATAGAAAGTCGAGCGGGCTTCTACGCGGGCGTGGCAGTATTTACAGGATTTTTCCGAGGAGGGAGATATTGAATTTTGAATGATATTTTGTTGCATAGATTGTGTATAAAACGTGTATACTGTGTAATGTATTTTATAACGTACAGGCTAAAACGAAAAAAGATCAAATTTTTAACTTGTACACATTGTTTTGTAAGTATTTTTTATTATAATCCAATCTGCCCTAACATTTGACGTTGAATTATTATTGTTGTCGCTCTTTAAAAAAAAAATGCCAAGGGGGAGATACGTCTCCCCCGATCCACCCCCCTTAAATACGCCAACGGGGCATAGTGCAAAAACTTTCTACACCGGACGATGTTTTTAACCGTCGCACCGGACAATAGTGCGAACTGATGGAGCGTGTGCGATAATTTCCTACGCACAATACGTACCGCAGCAGCGTACAGTATGAAACACTAAATGAAAAACCGGTTACACCCGTAAAAATATTTTGTAATTCAAAATTAAAACGATTAAGTTATAATTGTATTATGTATAATAAAACGTTAAATTGATTTTTTAGCAGTAATTTTGAAAAAAAAAAAAAAAAAAATCGATTATCAAACGTTCATTATTAAGAGTATACTGTTATCGTAATCACCGTCTTAAATGCTTGTTGTGTTCATTCTGAACTTTGAGTCGGTATTCGATTTTAATTTTTATTACAGATCGATACATCTTGATTTACGATATATACTATCACGGTGTATAGGCCGAGCTAGTAGTAATTTAACGTATTTATTTATTCGTATACTTTGAGGCCGTTTATAGTAATTGCTAACAAGCCAACAAAAATAAACTATTATTACTATTTTTTTTTTTTTTTTTAATAATATCGTTCTTGTTTCAATACGTCGTCAAATCCGATAGTAAATTAAAAACCATAACCGTAATAAAATCGTATTGGAATACTAAACGAATACATTTTCGCGACATAAAAAATCGCGATCGTCAAACGCGTTACCCTGCAACCGCGAACTGGAAAAGGTAAACGATCGAGCAATAATAATAAAACGTTACGAGTAAAAAAAAAATGGGGGGAAAAAAAAAACCCCCCGACGCTTGTAGGCGATTTCGCGGATTCTCGCGATCGGATCGCGAGCGATGTCGGCAATATCCGCGGCGCGAAAAAACGAAAAAACGAAAAAAAAAAAAGAAAAAAAAGGACCGAAATTAACGATATTATCTCCGGCGGATGTCCGCGCAATAACAATGATAACAATGCCGTATATTATACACGTCATCGTCGCAATCGTACGGTGTACCGTATAGACCACCCTGTATGTATACCATTGCGCGTGAATTACGTTTCGTCCGACCGTTTTGCGCGCGCGGTGTAACGCCGAAATACCGACGCGACATCGCCACCGCCCCTCCGAAAATCCGAGGAGGATGACTACAGCACTACACCGGCACTGCGCGAGTTTCCCCTCGGCGGCGCAATCGATGTAACAAAACCGAACGGAGACAAATTATTTATTACACCCGCGGTGTATAAATAATGATTGCGTTATATTTTATGCGTTTTAAAACGGTTTCGCGGCGGCAGTGTGAAATCTCTCTCGCCTCGACCCAGCCCCCTCTCGCACAGCCTCCGGCACTTTCCGCGAGCAATGATAATAATAATATATTCTATACGGTTCGCGGGCGTACGACGATATTATAATTAGACCGCGACGACGGGGAAAACATTCGGGGGAGGGGGGCAAAAAAAAACTTACTTACTTCGGAAAGACTTTCGCTAGACGGGCGGGCCGCGGTTTTGCAGGCGAAATGTAGAGAAGGTAGGATATAGAAGGAAATTTAATGTTTATCTGCACGCAACGATCGACCCCTTTGCTAACGAAAAACGATTCTGGGCGGATTTCGCTGCCTGTACACGTTTTGAAAGTCTGCAATATATATACGATTTGAAAATAAATATAAATTTCGCAAATTTTCCCGGTCTTCCAACGTTTTTTTCCCATTTATTATCAAAACCCTTGGGAAAATCAAAAGATCAATTTTTAAATTAACGACCCAGTCAAATTTTCTTTGAGAATCAGGGCTGAACTTGAAAACCGGAGCAAAATCGCTGGTAGAAAAGTTGTTCACAGAAAAAATAAAAACAAAAATACACATCATTGTATAAAACCAAAAAGACTGACGTATTTCGTTTTTATGCATTTATCGCCCTGTATACGCCCTGTACCGACTATATTGTAATAATTATTACAATATAGTCGGATATTGTAATAATTAAATTGACCGTTATTGACGTCACACATAGGCGCCCGCAGGAAATTTAATCAGGGAGGGGCAGTGCCTTGGTAAAAAGTTTCGAATGATTTTTTTTTAAGTACATATATTTTTCAAATATAAGTATACACATATTACTAAACAAGAACCTGCCATTTGATAACCGGGCAGACATAGGAATGAGGGCTATAATAAAATCAAACACTAACGAACTATAACAAAGTAATATAAATTATCTAATTATTAAAATCATATTTGAAATTTTGGAGTCCAGAGGGGGGCAGATGCCCCGTTTCGCCCTGCTTTCCGGCGTCACATATTATCTAAGTTTTTATGTATTATAATCTACGCATTTTGAATACGTACCGTATTGATAACAATAGGGATTATTGTGTGAACGGTTTTTTTTTTAAATTGGCCGTTTAAAAAGCCTACCGCTAACGCGTTTCGTGCTAATTGAGCGAAGGCGATTAATAATCCGGCCGTCCCGTAGCCAGTGGTGCTCAAAACGCGTGATCGAATGCCGGCCGGGACGCGTGTGTACAAATTTGCTCACACTTAGTCGAATTTGTCCGACCCGTGAAACGGGTAATTTTCTACCGGCTTCGCGAGATATCCGACAGAGTCGTCCGTTTCGTGAACATTGAAAATGCTGCCCGTTCGTCAACCGACAATCAACTGTGTTTGTATAAATAATAATATCGCCAAACCACGGCAGAACGCGTAATAACAATAAAAATACATTATAGATAAATTATTATTATTATTATTTTTTTTTTTCATAAATGCATTTAGAGATTCCGAGTGGAACGAGGAATGTATTGGTTTTACAATGATGTTTATTTTTTTTTTTTACGTGAACACTTTTTCTACCGAAAAGCATACACTGATTACCCAGTATAGCACCGTTTCTGAAAAGAAATGTTCTCTGGGTAGTACTTTAGAGAGGTAATTTTTTTGCAATTCTCGTTAACCTTTCGAGATAATGAGGAAAACCACGGTCCTATGGGTTACAAAAGATTGACAGATTAAAAATATGGTTGTCGTTGGCAACCGTTTTTTATTTATTTTTCGTTATTATTAAGTTTTTATTATTCTAAATCTTTTTTAAACAATCATCGTTGTCACAGAAACGCACGTTGTTGTAATCATTTTACCATAATATGACATACACCGTATTATATTGCATTGTCGACAAAGCAACACTATCAACTGAACTCCGTTCAGAATCGTTTTTTCGTTTACCGTCGCTTACAGGTTTACATTCAATTTTCGTCTGCATCCACGTGCAAAGTACGTGCGTCGTTTTTAAATTTGCAATTTATAATTCGTTATGATATTATCGAATCGATTTTATTTTTTATTCGTTTCGCTTTAAAACGCTTGTAGATAATATTATACTAATGACAAATCTACAATAATTCCAGTTTAGAAATTTCGAATATTGATAACATATTAATTGTACAATTACCGGTTTTGGTCGATTAGTGAAACGGGTGCAGGATAGTGGGTGTGTCACCCAACGATACATACTATGTAGACTGTCGATTTGTGAGATCAACTAATCGAAAGTTAGATTAACCAGAGTTCTCCGGAGATGCCCTTAATTTTGTGCGCTACAAAAATATTATTAACATACACCAGCGTACGAATATGGGGGTTAGGAAAAAAATCAAGTGGAATAAAAAAGGCAATATAAATTTTATTTTACATATTATAATTTAAAAATTAATTATTGGTTAGTATTGCACATTATGCAATACCATTTTTGTACCTGCACTACAATATAGTAGTCATTTTTGCAATACATTCGATTATGGACTGCAGATTTCGATAACTTGCTCCGATGATTATTTTCGTGAACATGTTTAAAATATTATCATTGGATATATATAGTCAATGGTGTTAAAACACGGTGTAGGTACACCTATAATTATACGGTACTATGATGTACTATACAGTGCTAACCAATAACATTACATTTTAAATCATAATACGGTAACACAAATATAGTTTTTTTTTTTTTTACCACTCGATTTCCCCCCCACTCCCACCCTAAAACTCACGAATACGATAATGCAGTTGGTATAATGTATTGCGTTATCAAAGTACGAGCTAAACGTCGTTTTTGTTGTGAACGGAAAAAAAAAAAATTGTCGATAAAAATTCACGTTCCGGCGGGGTCGGGTTCTGGATTTTTCGTGTTTCGCCTCGAGTACCGTAGAAAAAAAACAAAAAAAAAAAACGTCGGCTACTGGCGGTCCCGCACACTCCCCCGCCCCCGCTACCGAAACGGTTTCGAATATCGCGCCGGTGTGTACGTACCGTACGATTGTCCGGGCAATAAATACGGTGCGCGCGCGCGCACGCACGCAGTTTACGACGACGACAACGCGGGTGTATAATAACAGCGCGTAACGTACGACGGCGACGACGATCGGTTTCTCGGTAAACCAATTAACGCGCGGACGGGGCAGCCGCCGTAAAAGGCGCGCCGCCGACGTAGCAGCACAACGCGAGGCGAACGGAACTCTGCCGACGTTCGCTGCTCCTCGCGACCGCCGCCTTCTCCTCCTTCGCGATCCTCATCGTCACACCCCCCCCCGCCCCCTCTCCACACGTCATCGCTCCGAGTTCGGAGAACAAGACGCTAGGCGATTAACGGGCCCCGTTTTGGGTATGTACACTATTATGCGTGTTTACGAGAATCCGCGCGCGCACGATAACCATTATACACCGCGTGCGTGTTAAACGTTCGTTCGTTTCACACGGTCGAAACGCGGCTACGGCGACCGCGTGTTTATATTACGCGCGGACGCGCCGGCGATCGACGGGCGGCCGGTTTCGAGAGGGGGCTACGGGTTTTTACGACGGGGCGGCCGACCGTAAACGTTTCGAGGAGCTTTGCGTGGACGCCAGGACGACGCAGCGATACGTTCCGACACAATACAATACAACGGGAATGGTCGGCTCGCGCGAAAAGGAACTCGAATCGAATATTGGCAGGGACGCATGCAGCGAGCCGACCCATTAAGGAGAACTGCACAACAAATACCATTTGCAGTGGAGTACGGCGACTCGGCGTCGCGTGCGTTATCGGATCCCGAATAATCGGCGGTTCGGTTTTTAACACTGACGAGTACCTACTGACTTACTCGCAAGTCCGGCGCGACCCGATAATTCATCGCATCGGCGTGTTGACAATCGGTCCGCGGTAACTCTCACATAGATCCGTGCAGATAACGAGAATTGTTCGATTCAACATAAACTGTCGCAGGGAACTCGACTGGAGTCGACGGAATCGATTCGTGTTGAAAATCCCGTCCCTAAATAATTGGTATTCTTGTAAGGTGGCCGTTCGGTCCTACGCGAATAGTCGGCAACTCTTTAACGGACTTTCTGATCGGTGCCGCATCGGGCCCGGCGAGAGACCGAGCGAAACTCGATGGGCCGCGGTTAAGGCCGAGTCGACGGTCCAATTAAGCTCCAAAACTTGAAAATATCTAGACCCACCTTGGGCATCGCTTCAAAATGTACCTAACCAACCCGGATCGATTACGAGGAGTCCAACGTTAACCGAACGAGAGTCTACATGTCGAATGGCCCGATAATTGCACAACAAAAAAAAAATGCAGGTGTCTCGCGAAAACCTCGAAAAGTATGAACTCTATTCGAATTTTTTGTTTGAAAATTAAAAATAACGAGCAGCTCTAAAATGCTACGTCGTCCTAATTTGCGTGTGTGTGTTTGGGGGCGGAGGGGGGGGAGGAGAAGGTCGAAACGACCGTGTACTTTCGATTTTCAAACGTGCGACAATCGTGTAGCGTCGCATTTCGCGAACCGCTCCGTATAGCCGCGAACGGCGACCGAGTGGCCGTTTGTTTGTCTGTTTAAAGCCGCACACGCGCGGGCGCGCGCGCTCGCACACACATACGCGCGCGCACACTACTGCGGACGACAAAACCGGGGCCGCCACCGTATATTATTGCACATGGGACGTTTAATGAGGGTGACACGCGGGCTCGCCACCCCGTCTGCTTGATGCGTGTACCGCGGGACGGTATAATATTGCAGCCGAGTATTATGCGTGTGTGATGTTCTTCCGCCCCCCCCCCCATCCCCCGGAGAATTCGACTCTAAATCGAACGGCCGCCGCCGCGCAGTAATGTATTCTCAAAAACCCTACCACGTCCTTTCACACGCGCGCGCTCGCTCGCTCGCTCGACGGTATTCGTGTCGCGCGCGGTTCCAGCGCGGCTATACGGCAGCGCCGATGACGACGACGACGACGACGACGAGATAATGGTTTTCGAAACATTTGCCGGATGTCGATCTGTCCGGGTGTATATTATTATTATTATTATTATTATTATTATGTGTAGGCACTCGGGTTATATAATACAGCGGCGGCAGTTATAACTTGTGAAACGATATATCGCCACCCATCCCTCCCCTCCTCCCCCCGCCCCGTCACGGTGCACCGTGTACATTATTATAATTACTGTTATTATACGCGCTCTGAATCGTGATACGGTCGGCCACCCGAAACGCGAGGTCCAACGTTGTTAGGCCTTAAATTTCGAACACGAATGCACCCAACCCGCTGTAGGGGCGCCGCGTATGGGAGGGGTGAGAGTGGGGGGGGGGTTCGGGGACTACAGAATATAAAGAATATACGGCAAGAGTGTGGGACGCCTGTATACGAGTATCTAAAATGGTGAGCCCCCTCGTGACTTTTTAAAAACCTATGTAGGTACATACCCAACCGATATAATGATGACAAAACGGACGGGGGCCGTAAAAGCCGTAAACTAAATGGTCCGGAGTACCATTTATACGGTTCTTAACCCGAGCCGTTCGTTCGGTTATTGTCGTCGTTGAAAGGAAAGAAAAAAAAAAAACCCGCGAATAAAAGTTCAGCAGTAGTCAATTCGTAATACTCACAGTGTACTTATGTACACGGTGAAAAGAGCACGGGTTCGGGTACGGGCACCGAACCCGATTTTCGAACCTATACAAATGCGTTTAGAATATCTCGGTTACAATAAAACGGTAATTTTTTTTAATAATAACAAAAAAGACGGGCATATACTTCGCACGACGGGTGGGCCGACTGCTGTTGTAGGCGAAAAATTAGGAAGGCGGGAAACAGAGTGTTCAATTCAATTTATATCTGTACGTAACTGATACGAACCATCGCTAACGAAAAACTATTCGGAGCGAAGTTTCTTTAATACACGCGTACGTACATTTTCCCGTTTTTTCCCAATTATTATGAAAACCGCTTGGAAAATCCAAAAAAAAAGTTGCCTCCTTAAGGCTAGAAATACAACCCAGATAGAATTTCCTTTCGGAAAAAGTACTACCACTCGAAGATCGGAGTAAGATCTCTGGTAGAAAAGTTGTTCGTAGATAAAACAAAAATATGGAAATAAACACCATTGTAAAACCAAAATGTTTTTCGGTTGGCTCAGAATCTAAAATATTGAAATCGACCGTGACGCACCCTTTTGCGCATAAATCGCGGGCCCTTTATATTCGCGGTGCGTTATTCGACGATAACTGACTATGGCCCGGTTTACACAATGTTATCCACGTGCAAACCCAACTAATTCAAATTAATTGAAAATACGTAACATAACATTTGTAAATACACCTCGCGAGTTTCTAGTGTTTGTGCACGTCGATTTCACGCACAAATCGCGGGTATATTTCTGTACATTTTTTTTTTTTTTTTTAACGTCACAAAACGATTTTCGCATTATCCGACGCTTTATTCGTAAAGGAAAGAAAAATCAATTACCCGTGGCTTACAAATGTCTATATTGCAACACTACTCGCTGGTACGAAACGTACATAAATCTTTGTCGCGACGATTATTGTATTATTCCTCAGGGGCCGAAATTGTTATCCGTCGTATTATCCGAAATGAACAACAGTTTGCCGATTTACAAATCGGTATTATGCGCGTACGTGTCTCTCTCTTTATTTTATTTTTCAAACACATCTATTAAATTCGTTTTTAGATTTCGAGCGTGTATTGTGAGGAATGTATTATCGCGGTTTTACAATGATGTGTGTTTGTTTTCTGTCTGTAAACAGATTTTCTACCAGAAAATCCGCTTCGACCGTCAACTGTAAGGGGCGATTTTCGGTAGAAATGCGCCGTACAGTGCATTATTGAGCCAGTCATTTTGCGATTTTCCTTGTTAATATTTTATTGGAGAATATAATGGAAAACGTACGCAGTAACAGACTCTGTTATATTCGATTTTTGGCTTTTGGTTGTAATTCGGTGAGAAATAATCCAAAGGACCGGACATAAATATATATATATAAAAAAATAAAACCACTTAAACTGGCCGTTTTTATACGTGGTACAATTTTCAAATTATTCTAGTGATTTTTGAGCTGTTTATATAGCTATGTGTTTGACATTTTCATGCAATTGATTTTACCCAGGGAAAACGTTCGGAAATTTAACACGAAATTCATCATAATTTATATTCAAAGAGGCGAATAAAAAGTCAAGCGTGATGTACCTAATAATTTTTTTTTTTTTATATATATATATAAACGTTGAGTCTAAATTTTAATGAAAACCGTATATAAATCGTGGTATTTCAAAAAAAAAAAAACACGTTTAATCGAACTTCACTCAGAATCATTTTCTGCCATCAATGATTTATCGTTATTGTTATGATATTCGTAAATTAAATTACTCTACAAATTATTATAATACTATATACCTTCCCGACTTCCTACCTACATAACTGCAGCGTAGCATACCCATCAGCAATATCAGTTTTTTTTTTTTTTTTTTTTTATTGTATAATCCCAGGTATTAACAAAAGAATATTTTTTCGCGATATATATATATGTATTATAATTCACGTTTATTTTTTTGTATCGTTTTGTTTTGTTTTTCGTAGGCCGGTCGAAATAATAATAAACAATGACAGTTGACAAATCGCACTTTTGCAGGCTTTATAAAAAACAAAAAAAAAAAAAAAAAAAAACAAAAATCGTTTTATACATAAAAAAAAAACAACCCCGCGAAAAAAAAAAACGTTTGTACGTTACAACCATTACACGGCAATTACTCTGTCAGTATTATTTATATGAGTTTTGTATTATATACGAGTTCTATACATATATATACGAGTATAGTAGTGAATGTGAAAACTCGATTTTTCGATGACCGTTTTCGGAAAGGATTATACAATATTATTGTTCGCTGTTGTGTACATAAAAAAAAAAAAGCAATAATCGTTTTATACATAAAAAAAAAACAACCCCGCGCAACATCATTTTTCTACGGTAAAATAATAAATTTAATAATAGTTATGATAACTGCATGCCAATCTCAGAGGAGGGAAGATGAGGGGATTATATCCCCTCTATGACATTTTCCCTTTCAAATTTCAATATGATAAATTAAATTAGTTCACCTATTATTTCCTATAAAAAAAAAAAAAAACGTAAATAACGATTATTGTTTTTTAAAAATCAGCCTTGCCTCCCCTCTACTTCAATGACAAAATCATTTTTTGACTCTACTGATACTCAACTTTACCATACATAAACCAGAATTTATAATTTCACAAAGATTTTTTTTTTTCATTGAAAAACACAGTGTATAATCGAACTTCATTCAAAATCGATTTTCGTTACCAATGGTTTATCATAGCTAACATAAATTGAATAACTTTATGTAATCCTACATTTTCCACCTACAACAGTATAGTATACCCGTCAGTAGTATTATGGCTCTTTTAATTATTATTATTTATTTTTTTTTGAGATTTACCTTTATTTTCAATGAAGAATATAGACAATTATTACAGTTATATTTTCTTTGAAAATTCTTACCTGCAAAAAAAAAAAAAAATTATTATTAATAGGTTATTAAAAAATAAGTACATATAAAAACAAGACAAGAGAAAATTCACGGTAATAGATATAGAACGTTTCTAAGGAAAACTGCACGTAGATTGACAGAATGAATAATTTAACGCAAATGTATATGAGACAAGGTCACACGAAGACAATTTATAACGCCTATGGAGAGCCAAACACGTAATTGGGGTGTTTATAGTCGATGTACAGAGTTGGCTGTAGGTCACGTCGCAAAAAAATTGCCGAATATTGTAAACCGAGCGAAAAGAGGCCGACGACAGACGTAAACAGCAATAAAGTTTCAAAGGATCTAACGCCACTGTATATAGAAGCGGAAAACTGCTAACTGCAAACGTCGTTCGAGGCTGAAGATAATAACAATAATAATAATAGTAAAAAATTGTCGACGATCGATTTTGTGTAGAATATTTCTCTACCCCTCTTACCGCCGTTGTCGTCATTGAGGGTACAGAACGCGGCTGACAAAACAAAAAACCCTCCAGAATAGTTTCTCCGCGGCCGACCCAGTTTTCAAACCAGGCAGGTGGGCGTCCGTAGTACACGTTTTAATAACCAGTAGAACGGGGCACGGAGATAACAATAACAATATAATAATGATAACGGTGATAACGCGAGGGGACTCGAACGACAAATTAACGACGGCACCGGCTGTAATAATACCGTAATAATATCGCGAGTACTAAAATAATAATATATCGACCCGAGCGCGTCGTTAAAAACGATATTATTACCCGCGTCGTAAAAATAGCCGATCGACAGAGAGAGAGAGAGAGAGAGAGAGAGAGAGAGAAAAAAAAGAGATAATTATATTATTATTGTCGACCTTGATTGCGCGCGCGGACGACGACGATTAAAAACAGACGAGATGAAAATAATATCATAATCTCGACAATCCCACGGTTCCTGAAATGCTACAGCGCACGCGATCGCGGACTTAGCGGATTTTCAAAATATAAATTTTGTATTTTTTTTTTTTTCACTTTTATAGCACGTATGCAATTTTTATCCCGTCAACACCACAGTAATAACAAATAGTAATGATACTAAAACTCGACATCAATTATATCGAACGTCGGGACGAAATACGAAAATAATATACAGCATATTAAACTATTATGCGTGTATATAAAATCGAATAATAATAAAAAAAAAAAAATCAAGTAGGTACAGGTTTTTAATGTGCCCGCAGCATAAACGATTCCGATGACTTTTTTAACGGTTCGTTCGAACATAATACACGGTCGGGTGTACATATATATATATAAAAAAATATCTACCTATATAGCGCCTAATTATTATTATAATAATAATGGCCGGGGACAATCAAATTTTAAACATGATGTTATTTCGGAATGCGTTTTTGGACGCGAGGTATCTCCACCGAACTCGCTCGCCGGACGACGACGGGCCTAATATGCGGGGGGGGGGGAAGCGGCATTATCGTCCGGCCGAATTGAATTGTAAAATGTGTAAAAAAAAACCCAGACTCTGCCCGTAATGTATAAAAACAAAAAACAAAAAAAAAAAAAACGTTCGTCCGGCGACTACGACGAGACCCCGCAGCCGTCCGTACGAATATCTTAAATAAGTCATTTGTATATTAAACAGTCAACCGTGAGCGCCGGGGGACGGCAGGCGAATACCTCTTACTCTCTTTATGTACCCGAATGGCGTAACAGTAAAAATATTTCATTAACGTCCGGCGGTAAAAAATACGTTCCGAGATAAACGGATTGTCTAACGCCGGCCGTTCAAAAACGCAACGGCATCGTCGTTCCGTGTGCGTTTCCGAAATCCGAGAGGAAACCGTCGTACATAAACTCTGGCGCGGGGAAAATGTACGGAATTTTTTATCCTACTTACCTACATAGGTACCTTGTCGCTTTTTGTCGATTTGATTCAATACGCAGCCCGGGGTCGGTCGCGCGAAATTATTATCCGTTTAAAGCATAACAAAAAAAAAGTTTTAAGGGCGAAATTTCGCGGGCGATTCCCAATATTGGGACCAAATGGTTACAATATGGTAACATTTCGATATAATCCAATAGTAATATAAACAAACATTACAAAGAGCAAACAAATATTAAACAGATTAAAAACTACCGAAAAAGCAATTAAAAAAAAAAGAAATCGAATGAAACTAGTTTTATTAAAACGGTTTCGTTAAGTTATGTGATTTTTTTCAACTATTGACGTGTTAACTATATTATTAATCTACTATAAAGTTTTGCTTCAAGCAAGTGCATGGTTCCCAAACGATATTTGGCGGAAACATCTCTTTACGAAATAGATTTCGACGGAAACGGGAATCGTATCATTTTTGTGTTTAGCGGAAAAGGCTGTGCCCAATTTTACGAATAGTGTTGAAATAAACTCGTTCCACAACGACTGAACAAAAACAAAAAACCGCAGAAATCGAATCCTATATAATTGTGTCAGTTATTACGTATACAATGTCGACGAAAAACACGTGTTCGTATTATTATAATGTCGAGAACGACGCGCGTTGACGTCACGGGGGAGCGAGAAACGTTCCGTCGACAATATAATATAATTGCGGTAATAACCGAAAAGAATTTCGGGTTAATAGAAAATTCTGTTTCGGGTGAAACAATAAAAACAGTGGCAAAACCGTCGATACATGATCTTTGATGCATTATATGAAAATCAATATACATACAGTTGACGGTAAAATGTTACGGTTAAAATATTATAAGGAATATTTGAAAAAAAAAAGCAAAAAATATACAAGATAGTTTAAACAATTCTGTGTACATATTGTCCTCGACCACCGGAGGGGAAACAAATGTATATTCTCGACATTTTCCAATAGATAAATTCGCTTTGGATTTGAGATGAAGTAATCATTCTGTATAATATTATATTACTATAATAATATATTCGTCAATATTTACGCACTTAAACGTATCGCGGGGCCTCGAGGCCTCGAGGGGGTTGGAAGCGGTCCGTCAAAAATTCCTCCGATATTTCGTACTATTCAGTGGCCACTTTAATATAGGCCTGATGGCCATTTAAGGGGGAATGGCCGTTGCTGCGAACAAATATGACGTTTTTGACCAATATATACCCTGAAATAGATAGAGCTAAGGGATAATGTCCAACCACGCGTATATGAGTATATTTACTTGGAAAACTACTTTAATTTTTAAATGCATATATTTCAGTCAAGTCGGAAAGAAAAGCTTGATTTATTTGCCCATTTTAAACAATCTCTTCTATTAAAATAAATTATTTCCATGTAAAACGACTAATTTGTATAATTATTTTCTATGTATTCCTTCTTTTAATTTTTCATATTCAGCCGCGTTTTACATTTTGACTGTGATATAAACCTGATGATGAATTTTTAACTCGAAACCGGTCGTATAATACACTTATCATAATACTCCAGGCAACGCATTTATTCATTTATTTATTTTTTATTTTTATACATACATTTTTTTTTTTATTTATATATTTTTTTTACTATATTGATTTATCGATTGAAAAAATGTTTTTTCGGAACCGGCTTTTAAATTTTCGTCGCCTATAGTTCGGTAAAAAAAGAAGATTCTACGGATCGTCGGATTTATGCGATTAACATTTATACTATTTCCCATCGCGTTGAAAATCCCCGAGCACTCCACCGTTTTGTACCTACACAAGTAGTTTTTGGATCCTTCGTCGCACACTGCAATGTAGCCTAGTAACGGTCGATTTCCTTAGTTCGTTGTTTAGATTCTGCGGATAACGGGCGTTTTTTGTGTTTTCGTAATTCGAACAGAACGCGCTTTAATCAACTCGCAAAATCGCGCGTTTTCGTTAAACGATATCCCGTCGGTTAATGTGTAATAATACAATATAATATATTGTTAACGGATTAATCGAATTTCGATTACGACAAGAATGTTTAGCGATAATGTATACGAGGATCGCGATTATGTTGAATAACGGTAAACCGATGAAAACGTCGTGTTCCGTCGTCGCATCCCTGCTGCATATCGCTTCTCTAGCTGCAATATTCTCCATTATATTATACCGCGTATACGATATACGGTTTCGTTATAAGTGCACGCTGCTAACGCGCGCATATTACAGAAATGAGGGAGTAATTAAAAAAAAAAAAAAACGAATATATGTTATTATTAGTAGTGTTATAGTAATATATTGTGCGGCGGTGGTATGGGGAAAAAAAAAAAAAATACCACACGACGACTAAAATATCAGTGCCCGCCGGGAGTTGAGACGTTTTAACGTACGACGACGAAATATTATTATTATAATACTATTTCGGCCCCTCGGAGAGCCACTGCCTAGCCGCATTCTCCGGGAAAAAAAAAAACACGTGTGCTCGTTTGATTGCGCAATTTCCCCTCCCCCCTCCTCGTGTGCGCGGGTCCCATAGCCGCGTCGTCGTCGTCGTTCTCGCCCGTCGAATGTAAAGTGGATTTGTCTTTTTTTCCCGCCTCTATCTCGCTCTTCCTACGGTATTTCATTTTGAAACCGTTCCCCGATAAAATAAATATTATCTGGTCGACGACGACGAAGAGAATTATTTATTAAATAACTTTGCGTTCCGAAACTCGACCGAGAGACGGGGCCGAATCCGTTGGCGGAACGCGTTGTCAAAATATTTGGATCGCGTCAGACAATATCGCATTATAATCAGTGCTCGAATTGGGGGAAGAAGGGCTGAGGGGTAGACCCGGAGGTACTCGGTACTTCAAATTAATTTTTCAAAAATATTACCATGACTCTGTTTATTTTGTGACGGAGTACATATTTGTATGCACTTCCATTAAAATTTAAACGTTAAACGTTTTATATATCTATAAGAAAAAAAAAGAAAGAAAGACTACTGTTACTACTAACTTACAACTTATTTTTTTGACTACTTATCGCAAATTCGACACAAACATTCGAATTAAAAACAATTTTAAACTCATCAAAACAAATAAAAGCTTAAAGAACTCTACATTTTCAAATGTCTAATAAATAACTGTGATCATATAATTATATAATTATATCATTTTATATCTATATCTATTTCATATGTATAATTCAATAATTCCAAGGGACGCTATTTTTTCAGCACATCTTCTTTTATTTTTCCAAGTCCAGCACTACATGTTATTATCCAACACGATCCAACGTGTTCATGCACATAGATACCTAATAAACAATTTTCCCCCGTGCTACCCGTATAAACATTTCGAAGCCATTACATTATTCGCATTTCCTAGCGTAGGCCATTCGTAATCATGTTATCGCGTCGTAATTTTGATAACGCAATTTCTAGTCCGAAGATATTTACTATCCTGCAGTGTTATAAATGTATGTATAATCATTAATCTTGTTCTATACGCGTGACTCTATAGTCTCTCTCTCTCTATATATATATATATGGCATGTGGCAACAGGTACCCAACTAATTAATGTTATTAGTTGACATTTGTTGATAATAATATTGTTGTAAAATTAATTCGAACGCTCATTAAAGCCTATAGTGTGACCATACGGTAACAGTATTATAGTCGTGTTTGAACGCACGCTATTTATTTGAAACTGACCGGGTTTACTATTATCGCGTTAATTAATGTTGTTCACAATGGCCGGCATTTTATTAACCTACTTAATTAATTTATGCTTATTTCGAGTTTTAAAAAAGAAACATGTTATTCTTGTTTTTTTCCGAATTTCGAACATTTAATATATCTTCTTCTTCATCCCAACTATTTGAAGTTAGTCACACTAGTCTTAGGCTTCTAGTTGACCGATCCCACAGCCTATCATCCTCCGGTACACCCGTCCTCATTATATCATTCTCAATTGCATCCAACCCTCTATTTTTCTTTCTGTCTCCTTCTCCTCCTCTATCCTCCTACATCCGTTTTCATTACAGTTCTTACTGCTTCTGATTTCTCTCCCCTCGTGGCACGCCCAAAACATCTCCGTCTATTTTCTCACTATCCAAGCCACACCTAATCTACCTTTTATATAGACATTCCTTATCCTATCTTCTATCGTCACTCCACTCATTCACCTGAGCATTCTCATCACTAATACACTCGTTCTTAGTTCTGTTTTTCTGTCTATCATTTATAAAACTCCGAACCATACCAACATAGTCAGTCTCATCACACTTCTGTAGAAAAACTTAACTATAATAAATCTCATTGGAATTCTCTTGTCACACGAAACACTAAATCCATAAAAAAATCCAATTTACAATTAATGCATTGAGCTTTTCCTCCTAACCTGGCTGAACGATTGTATGTATTTTTGCGTATTTTTGTTTTGTATTTTCAAGCCAACCGGAGGGCATGTAACCACTAACCTCCTCCCCTCGCCCCTGCGCACGTCACCGAACGTTATGTGTTATTATCATTTCGATTAAACACCGCCGAATTCCCAAAGACGTCGCGCTGATTTTTACGCGGCGTCGAAGCTATACAGAAAATAATAAAATATACGTCGTCTTCGCGGGGTTATTGGTTTTTTTTTTTTTTTCTGGTCATGTCCTCCGAGCGTGTCGCGGTCCCCGATTTTTTCGGCCGCGCGTTATTTTCTCGCCCGGAGGGAGACGTTTTAATTATTAATAACATTTACAACCGACAGTTATTCGCGTCCCCTCGCGACGTCGTCGCCGCGGTTATTAATATTGACGGCGAAAATTCGCGTTCTCTTTTGTACCGTTTTGCCCGCGTCGTTATTTCAATCCGCCGCCGTCGTCGTGTACGTGCGGCGAACGTATTACGCGACCGTAATTTGTCCCCGTCCGGCCGCGGAAAAAGGGGGAACGGCGTTTTCCCGTAACGTTTTTCGAATAACTCGGGCATACACCTATATAATATGTATACACGCGCATATCGGATAAAACATTGTGTAAATTTCGATTCGGATCCGGACGATGGGGTATTTTAAAGGGCGAAAGATAATGCGTTTGGGTATTATATTATTGTTATTTATTTTATTATTAATAAAAGGATTTGTTTTTTTAACACTGGCAATCCACGCCATGTAAAATGTTTATGTCGCGTACATTCGCGCGTTTAGATACAATATAATGTTTTACAGCTATGCGGAATTCAACTGTTGCACACCATACGCGGCCGAGCACGCGCACGGAACAGTCGATATCGTACAGTCACGAAATTACGACAGTGATATGCCAATAGTATGAAAAGGGAGGTTCTAGGCCAGGATCAGGATCACTAACCTAACCTAACCTAACCTCTTCATCGATCTATTTATTTTTTTATTTATTTTTAATTAAATATTTTATGTCCATCTCTTCATCGATCTATTTAACCACGCCCACTTCTGAACATATAATTATTTCAAAATTGTATTTCTATTTATTTTTTTCAAATTTTTTTTTTTTGACATCCACCAAGTAGACGACCTATTTTGACCACGCCTCTATTTTGAATTTATTATTATTTCTCGAATATTATTTTCCGTCTAGGTACCTACGTGGATCGCTGACGCGAAGCCGCTCGCCACTACCTCTCCCCATACCCACCACTATACATACTATTACCGCGTAAGCGTTCGTAATCATTATCAGTAATCATTTTCAGTTAACACGTAATCATTATCAGTTAACACGAATATTAACAGTTAACACAAATATTATCATATATATAGGTACTCGAAAACAATAATTATCAAATACTAGCTGACCCGGCAATGCTTCGCTATTGCAAGATTTCTCAAATATTAATTTGCTATTTATTTTCTAGATGATTATTTTTATTTTAGACCACTTTTAGTCACGTCTCCGTGGTAATGTAGCCATATTAATTTAGCGTGGCCACCGCGGATTCTTCATAATGTTGAAAAAACTTATATCGGTTGTGTCAATAGAAATATTGATGCTTATTGCAAATTTTTTTTATTTAATAGATTTAATGTACGAAGCGCTAAAATTAGAGTTCGTGTACGTAAATTTTGTAGGTATAATTATTGATGGAACAAAAGATATGAATTAATTTACCTGCTTACCGTGAAATCGTAAAAGTTCTTTTTGGTGAAGAAGCTGAAAAAGAAGTATTAAAAATTCCAATATCTGACAACACCATTAGTAGACGTATAGAACACATGTCTGAAGATATTGAAGAACAAGTATTGCAACAATCCCGTGACTCTCCATTATTTGCATTACAACTAGACGAGTCAACTGACACAAGTGGACAAGCACAACTTTTGGTATTTATACGCATAGATGCGCAAAAAAATATATGCTTCACGTATTATATGAATTGGTGTGCCGCGAAAATTTTGTAGGAAAATAAGTGTGCTACATTGTTAAAAAGGTTGAAAACCAGTGGGTATGACACACATAATATACATGTATACGCTTTATATTACAAGACATCGGTTTGATAATATACCGCGCGAGTCAAAAATGAGGACAATCCGTTTTCTACGTGACCGTAAGAATAACGCCATTACAATACGATGAGACCTTTTGATGTACGCGCGTCGTTGACAATCGAATCATTCGATAGTTGACATTATTCTACAGAAACGCATAGGATAACGTATATAATTCGATTATCTCAATTGTCACAATTGTATCGAATACGGTATTCGATAGTCCTATTTAATAATCCTATTTAATACATCCCTGATTACGATTATCGGTCAGTAGAAAATAAGAAACTCTCTCTCGTCTCACTCAAGAAAGATCGTTTGGTATTACGCCAAAAATTTAAATAATATCTTCAACTACAAAAAATTTCTCCAATCTCTCAAATCTTCTATAATTCAAATTCTCAAAAAAATATCTGTAAATAATCCCATTAAATTCAATTTCAAACTCGAATCAACATATTATAAGCCACAGGTAGATAATTCTACTGTGGATAGGTCGTTTAAAACATCCGCTCGAGCTATATTTTTCGAAAGAGAAACTGAAGACATAGTAGAAGAAAAATTCCGAAAATTACTTTTCGAACAGGACATGTATCAAGGTCAGGGTAGTGGACTAACACTTCAATCCATAGATGGACTTTTATTAGGCGTATATAAATATACACCAATTGGTGGTTTGTTATATATTCTACTACCCACTGACATTTCATCAATTTTTTATTATTTTTAATCCATCGAACGAAGAAGAAGATTATAATATATCACATTATTTAAAATACTTGAAATAATAATAACAATAATAATCTATTCTATAAAATACCTTTTATGTATTTAGTTGTTGAAATAAATCATAATTTATTTACTTAAAAAAAAAAACTAATTTTATTTATTCAAGGTAATAGTTATATAATAAGTTTTATACAATATAATAGGTATTTCTAGAAACAAGATTATAATACACGTACTTCACCGTTAAACGGATTGTAAGTTATAATTTGGTCGTGTAAAATTAAACAGTATGCTGACGTAGAGGGTGGAAATGCTATTTCTGCTTCGAATTCAATCCTAAGATCCACAGTCGATGTTTTTAAGTTGTCATTCTGCCGACTCATATCGATAACAATGATTGGAGCATATGTCTTGAACTCCGATCGGGTTAATAGCGGCGTGACGATGTCACGACCGTAGTAAGATTTCTGGAACTCTGCGTACGCTCGGTATACCGTAGCTATTTTATTCTTAGTAAAATCACTTTGAAAATCTTCGTAGGGGAATGTTTCAGAGTTTAAATAAACTTTTAGATTTTTTACTGGACAATTATCAAAGCACGACATCGGTTTAGTTTCGCTATTTTTTTTATCTGTTTGAAATCCGATTATAACAAATCGCAGTTTTTCTAACTTATTTGTTGTCTTCACTTTCCACGAATGTGCTGTGTTCTGAGGCAAAAATGGGTACTCATACAACTCCTACGATCTAAACGCGCACGTGATAGATTTATGACTGTTCATTACTTTCATCAACCTAATTTTTTCTTTGTCGCTTACTCGTACCATAGGCATTCTCCATAATATTTTCTTAATATTTACTTTAATTTCGCTCAATTTAGGGGTGTCAGGCTTAGTAAACTTGATCGCGTTCATGTCCGACGATGCTCTATTCAACACGAGTTGTTGGTTACAGTTTATTAGAATACGTTTATAATCTTCGCAAAACCCAAACAAATCTCTTAAGTTTATACATCCGTTAAACGAGTCGGTTTCAATAAAATTTGTATTAGCATTCTTGAAATCACTGTCCCAAGCGGCGTTCTGACGTGAAGCAATACCCGATTTAGTATACGAACAATATTCTTTCAATATTGTAGCTATGCCGGGGTTAACGATAGAACGAAGAAATGCTAAATTTTTAGCTGTTAACCGTTTTTTATGTTTTCTATGTTTTGAATTATTTTTCTCGTCTGTTTTCACCCAGAGTGTTGACTTGGTGGTGGTCTTGATACGACTGTTTTTATCCGACTTTGCAGTCCTATTTATATTATAAAATTGTATACCCATTTTAGAAGTTTTTGTCGGAATCTTAAATTAATATCCGTACAGATATCGGTTCTCCACGCAGATCGATCATTTCGTCGTTCTGGTCCTTTAAAACAATACTGGCGTGAGTTATAGAAGTACAATTTAGTGAATATGAAACCAAGTGTGTAGGAATTTCTATTATTTTATAACCCGGTGGTACGTTAGGATAAAACTCGTGTATTATTTGGCGCTGCTTCCCGTTGACGAATGAACCGACAACCAGGTTTGACTCGATATATATACAATTAACTCTGGCGATATTAACCAAAGTATCTGATCGGTGAATAACGTTTGCATCGTAGAATCCGTTATTAAAACCTAATAGCGTACCTATGTTATTGGACATAGTCAAATCGATTTGTACATTCGAGTTCATTCTACACTTTAATGTTGTATTGTTCAAACAATAGAGCGAATTCAGAACACAATTTTATAACGATGGTTTTTTTTATTTTTATTTTTTGCACGCCGTTATTTAATCGGCCATAGTATACACTGCACAACACACACATATTACAGTCAAATGTCAACAGAACTTATGCATATTTAACGAATCTATTTAAAAAAAAAATACGTCGTCGTCGTTGATAGTGACACGGTGCGCGTTTCGATATATTAAAACGTCAAACCGATTTGTTTTCAACATTCCCCTCCCCCCGGTACTATTACAACATACGAACAATAAAAATATACAAATGAATCGCACACACTGGTATCGATCGGAAATACAATTATAACGCGGACGACACATGTCGATTTTGCTCGCTCGGCGTTTTTTGCGAACCTTGTCGATTTATACCGCCGCTTTATTTTTTCAACAACACGACGTCGAAAAACTGTTATGTCACGCGTTTACTACTATTCTTATAATATTTTTATGTTCGTAAATTGTTATTTATTTGTCTCGAATTATCCGTATACACGCTGCACACATTTAAAGAATTATTATGTTCAAAAATGTTACGAGGACGCATTATTAATATTGCCGTCTCAGTCAGTGGGGTTTTTTTTTTTGGAGGGGGACAAAATTGTTCACATTGATTTTTAACAACGAACACTTAATATAAAATATAGATAAAATTATCAACATTACCGATTATCGTAATAATTGGTCCAATCGCAATTTGAATGACAATTTATAATCATTATTAACTCATATTATTACAACTACAAATATCATATAACTGTCAAGAGGCGGGGGCCCGGGCCCTATCGGCTCCTCCCATTATAGCATTATAGCAAATTTTCGTTCTGCAAAACCGATTCCTGTGCTTTTCGTCGTAATATTATTATAGAGTGCAAACTGACGTGCATTGTTAACCTTGACGGTCTAAGAAGATTACCTGCCCGATGTTTATACGTGTCGATTTTTTCGGATATTTAAATTTTCGAGCGAGTTTAAGACATTTTAAAACCGTATATTTCACACGCTTTATAGTATATCTAACTTAAAAATTAAAATATCAGAAAATTCGACGTACACCTCGACAATGTTTTTTTTTCTTCAAGTTTGATACAATAGGTCGATTCACTCTCAATACTAAAAATTAACGGCCCGATATTGATTCCGCTGAATAAAAATTTACTAAGTCGTGTATTTTTTTAAGACGGAGAAGAAAAACGCGCGTGTGCAATTGTGCAACCCTTAACGTGTCCTCTATAAACGAGCGATAGTAGTGCGATATGCCATGTAAAATCCTAAACGATTTTCGTTGGCTATAATGACATTTTAAAATTACTGTTGTCCGATAAATATATTACAATTTAATAGTTTTGTAACTGGTAAGTATATAAAAATCGTGTTGGAAAAAAAAACGAACCCGAAAACCCTGAAATGCTCTAGAAAAAAACAGAAATTATATGTATACAAAGAAAACGACTTTAAAATCGAATATTGTCGAAACTTGTCGGGTGGAGGAAGGGGGAGGGGAAATACAAAACGTCTTATTCCCGTTGAAATGCAACTGCGCGAAACGAATTCTGAACGAAATACGCGAGTATCGCGCACCACTACACTGTATAAGCCCCACGGAGAAACAACGGCAAATCGCATCGAAATCCCACGGCCCTAGGAACACACACGGTAAACGGTAAACAATTTACAAAACGCACACGCCGCAGCCGGCGGGTTAAGTTCGCACGTATAAAAATACAATAAAGCTATATACGTATAACATATAATACACACATCAAACAACGCCGTTTTACCGCGTGGCACCGAAAAAAAAAAACAGTTTTATTCGCCGTGTTCGTGTCTCGCGTAATATAAATCATACACACGCGCGCACACACAACACTGTAAAGTCTGTATAAACGATGATTAATGACCCGGGAACGAATACGAATCGTATTATTATTATTATTATTATTATTAAAAGAGCGAGTCGCAGCAGTAAACCGCGAAATAACAACGCCGTAACAATAAATACGATTTCGGCGTGTTTTCTTCGCGGGGGAATTCGCGCGACAACGCGCGCCTTTGACGGCTTTCGGAATCGGCGCGCGGTGGTCTGACGCCTCCGCGAGTATATTTGTACAGGGTCATATGAGTAGGATTGTACATTAAGGGACTCGTAGGAGATGGCGTGTTTTCAGCATCATTCATAGCTTAATGATATAGACATTTGTTTCAAATTCTCGCGGAACTTGTAGACTTTTTTTAAATTTTTTTTCACAGACGTATATTTCAATGGTGTTTGAATTTGTATAGCATATTTCACTAAATTAAACAATAAAAATTTGTAATTTATCGTTAAAATTCGTAAAACAAAATATAGTAATTTCCTATATTTCCTATAGTGCATATTTTATTATCGTATAATTTCCAAATTTTTACTGTTATAATGCTGAATGCATACATATTTCGATCATTTTAACGTCATAAAGTCCTTAGCACTAGTCATAAGCGAGCGCGTGGAGGAGGCAGGAGAAGCGACTGCCTCACCTGCAAAATCTCTGCAAAAATATTTATCGAAAAACATAATAATGGATATGGGCTGTTTTTTTTAATATTGAACCCTAACGTCCCCGCGATTTCGTGCATAGAGAAAGGGAGTTTTGATGATTTTTTCCGCACCCCCGAAAGTGCTCATCGAATAAACACTAAGTATATATACACAATCAATATAATGGGAGCTTAACCCCCCTCTAAAAACGGTCGGACTATTTGTGTAAGGTTTGATTTCAAAGATCGTCACGTCCCCTGCGATCCAAAGCACTTGCGCACGCTTACGTACAGGGTGGTCCGTTTTTGTTTTCGTCTCTTTACGCGCGCGACGGTTTCGTGAAAAATATCGATTTCACTTGGGTATTTTTTTTTTTTTACTCGTCCGGTCATCGATCACCGTCGCATTATAATGAATCGCGGTTTTAGAGGACGCCTCCACGCCCGTATACGCGGTCTCCATACGTCATATAACTGTAATTTTCGACCGATCCTGCGCCTTTAGTTTTGATATTAGAGCGAATTGTAGACCTATGTATCGAATATAATAACACAAACGTTGTCTGTGTCGTGTCATCGGTTTATTATTTTCATTTTCAAGCGAATTCGCGTAAATTTAATAAAATAAACATTGCTGAATCACGCGCTCGTGTCACGCTCAAGAAATTAAAATAAATGAAAAAAAAGAAAAACGTTTTTTATATAGATTATATAATCTGAAATCGATAAAATAGCTATATTTCGTATAGTTCGTGTACTGCCTTCGCAAACGAAAACTCCGAACAGCAAGTCACTAGAGAACGTTTTTGGAGAAAAACGTGTTTTTGGATTTTTGAATTTTCTAAAACGCATATCACGCACGTTTTCCGCACAATTCGCGACATCACGTTGCAACGATTCAACGTACCTGTCGTATGATAATATTACTCACAATACCCGTCGTATAAATCGCATACCTATATTAAACTAAAATATGTATTACGGTAAAACGGCCGTCGTATCGTTCTTCCGCCTCGGGTCTATTTTTTTATTTTTTCAACGGAAGGTAAAATATTTTTCCGCGTCCCGAAACGCAATAATATTAAAAAACGCGCGACCGGCGGCGGGCCACGCCCACACCCATCCGCGAAACGATTTTCGTTATAATATTATAATATCATTGTTGGGATCGCCCGCAGTTACGATAACGATACGCTCGTATTTTTCCTGTAGTTCCGAATGTAATACGTTCAATACGCAGTTTAGAAATAATAAGGCTAACATATCTAGGTGGTTTTTTAATCGCTGTAACATTTCGTAAAAGAAACGCGTTATCTCGCCCCTTCCGGAATATTGTCCTCTTTTAATTTTATCGTTCGGTATGTGCTTTTACTTGAAAACCGAAATCAAGCGAGTTCTATGCAATCTGTGTAAGATAGATTTTACTATATTGCCCGTTTTAGTTGAAATGAGACGGCACACACGAGTAAAACTCAAGCAGTGTCAGTCGGCCCAAAACGGTTTTGTTAAAAATAGAACATAATACGGAATCGCGTTGCACACGCACATAGATAACGCAAAAACAAAACAAAGATATATTTGCTTTAAACGCCATCAGTCATATTAAGTCCATGCCTGAAGTGTTTACATTTTTCTTTAGTCATGGTTTAGACAATGAATATTTATTTTATTTTGTGCGCATTTATTCGATTAGATATCGATACAATATTGTTATGTGTATAATTGTATAGTAATTGTAAGTATTATTATAATTATTATTAAATTATTACAATGGCTTACAATGGTAAAATTTTAAAAAGTTTAACAAAAAAATTGGCCAAAAAATTACGATTTTAATAATAAATATCGCTGCAGTAATAGGACGGTGGTCCGGGACAAACTGTGGAAGGAAATTAATAACGCATGCAAATTGCAACCCCTTCGTCAGACGACCTTTCGGCAATAATGATAGTATTGGTTTTGTACAAATTGTTTTCTGTTGACTACAAACACAATATTTTTCTTTTCGTGCGCATTAGGCCTAAACGCGAAGGATATGTAGGCGCGAAAACCCACGAAACCTCGCGTATAAAAAATTGCGATTTTATCGGTGCCGCGTGTGTGTAAGTATCCGAACGTTAATAATAATACTAAAAAAAAAACATTTAACGAAACGCCACCGTTGTATCGGGGTACGCATTATTATAATACGAGCGTCGTAAATGATGAAAAAAAAAATGCGATTTAATACTATAGTGCTGAGCACCAAATCCGGACTGAAACAAACGTTACAATCGGATCGGTTTAATCCAGATTTAAAGTAACAATCAGGATTATCAGTATCAATCTGTATTACGAGTATCAATCGGGATAGGTGGATTGGATCCGAATCCGGATTATGTAATATTGTAATCCGGATTCCGGATTGGTCAAAAAACTACTCAGCACTATAAATAGCGGCGTAATATAATAAAAAAAACCGTATCTCGTCTGTGAGTATAGTGGTATAATATACGTATATAATATTTAGTGTTATCACGGGGGCGGACGGAGAACAGCTGCTGCTGATTTCGGTATGAATATTCTTTGTATGTGTACACTGTACACGTATGGTATATTATGTTGTATACTATATTTACATACTAAGAAAAAAACACCGGCGATAATCGGTAATAATGACAGCAATTGTGGAAAGAATTTCCACAGTGTATACCGAAATGACCCGCTGAAATAAAATATGGACGAGGAGGTAGCAAGACGAAAATATCGAAAAGTGCGAATAATATAGATGGGGCCAAGCACCCCGCAAACATATTCACTACATAGGAATTAAACGGATTCTAAAAAAAATGACACATCTACGAGTGTTTTTGAAAATAATGTTTTTATTTTTTCACGCAAAGCACAATTATAGAAAGAAAGAAAAAACTGTATATATGTCTATATGTCTATATCGACAAGGAAACAATATGAAAAATAAATAAATTATTGAAACGAAAAAGGGCCCATAATCTGTTTTTATTTATAATTTAAACTATCTATAAAGTAAAATCTAAATTTGGGCCATTTTTCTTTGCCAGTGTTTTAATTTTTTCTTTCGTTAAACGTTTGGTTTTATTTAAAAAACCTTCTTTTTTTTTTTTGACACAAACATCTTGTGCCCCGAAAATAGCTTCCGATATGGAAAGTATCTAAGTTTTAAACCCTAAGCTAAGTCGGGTTGGGTTTGGGCATTGCAGTATACAACGCGTAATGTATTGGAGACAGGAAAACTTCGATGCATTCACATTGTTTTCACTGATGCGATCGCGGTGAGAGATGGACTGAATTTGTAGCTGACCGAGCCTAAAAACTGCGGCTATTATTATTATTTTATACCGTTTTTAAAATACTTATAACGTTACGAACGTGTTGTACCACGACCGGAGTTTACAAAATGACGCGTCGTTGATAAACGAGAGTTTTGCTACTGCGTATTAATCTTTGTATAGGTACCCACCATGGTTTATATCTGTTTGGGTAAGTATAGTTTTCACTAGGATTTATCGAGCCCCTCGCTTAATTTTAACATCAGGGTCACTAAAAACCAGCTATCTTTTCGGTACACAGCTGATGGGTAGGTACATAAAAAAAAAAACAAAAAACAAAAAAAAAAAAAAAATGTAATAATAAAAAGTTGTCAGAGTTTCTCGCTCTTTTTCCAAAAATATTGCTTAGAACGTTAAGGGTATAATGATATCCAAACAATAACAACAATAATAATAATTATATAGGGTGTGACAATAACAACGAAATTATTTCGTTGACGTTGATTAACGAAAGCGACCGAATGTTTTATTCATCACGTATGTATATGATGCGATCGCATCGTGTGTAATATCGCGTAAAAAGTACATTTTTGTTTAGTGCTCTGACGTATATAACACACGCGCGCATCGCAATGTAAGTAAGTATAATAATATGTACGCGCAGGGGTGCGATATAAATTGACGTGACCGATTATTCGTATACGGTTGTCGCGCCGTCGTCGTCGCGTAAGGGTTACATATATCACACAAAACGCCCCTTTTTTCCACTTTTTTTTTTTTTTATCCATATACTAAATATTTTTCCACGCCACGGAACCAACCGCACCGCCACTCGTTTATATATACTGCAACTATAGGGGACGGGTTTCCCCCGAGGAAACGACGGTCGGCCCGCTGCTTATATTTTCTTCTCGCCATCAGCTCTCCCGCTGCAAAGGGCTAGCTGACAGTTTTTTGACAGCCACTGACTGCACACGCGCAAAAACACACACACGCCCTTAATGAATCCCATAAATGTATATTATGTATACAGAGCGATTATTTTATCAAGAGCTGGACAACTATATAACTACACATGGACCGGTATATCCATACATGTTACGGCTCGTGTTAAACAATGTCCAGTTTTCGTACATCCAATTTCGCGCTGTTAATACTAAATATTTATGTGAATTGATCCATTAATGGTATATCTTCGTTTGTACTTTGGTTTTTTTTTCTCTATACATTAAACTTTCAGTGAGACACGAGTGTGCGAAACACTACAGTTTAAAACTTTTAGTATCTCGCTTAAACATTAAAAAAAAAAAAAACCCACAACTTTAATGAAACATAACGCCAAATCACTATAATATTTAAATTGGCGGCACAACATTAGTTCAGCTGAATGAAAATTTTACATTGTCCAATTTTCTACGACGATTTCATAAGTATACATATTTGACGTTTATGTGAAAATTATAAACGCTGCAATTTAATAAAATACAGACCTCGCGAAACAGTATATATAACGGCAAAAAACCGAATTATCGATCGGTCGAAATCGTACAATTTACTTTCTTTATTAAATCTCGTATATTATACGTAGATATAGATTAAGGCCCGATGCATAAACCCGATACTCGGTAGTATAGGTGGTATCGGTTTTATTTAACCGGACATTTCCATTGAACGGTTTGTCTCTGGAACGTGCATAAAGCATTTAAAAAAAAAAAAAAAATTCAATTATATCTGTTAGTAGCAATAAGGACTTGCGGTTTTCTAAAATTATCCATTAGTCCGATAACTCGGTTAGCGTTAACTCGCGATGCGTTTGGACGCGGGGGTGCCGATTTCACAGATACGTCGGATGGATATCGGTAAAAAGTCTAGTAATATCGTACGTTCCTATAAATCAAACGGACATCTTCGACGCGCATTATATACGTTTTTTTTTATAATCGCGGTGGTCGGCAATAGAAAAAAAAATCGCCCTGTACGCAGTGGCGCCCAAACTATATTTCTATACGGTGCGACAGAAATTCAAAATCGCCTAGAAAAAACTTTTTTTTATCTAAATTTCACTGCTTAAAAAAACTAGAAAGTGTTTGACATTCGAACCCAGTGGCGTTTCGAAAGGGGTACATTTAATTTAAATTACGCGATTCTCGAAAAAAAAAAACGAGTGAGTGGGTCGTGGGTGCCCGGGTGTTTAGAAATATGAAAAAAAATATTATGTTTCTACAAAAATAAAATCCATTAAAAGAATTTTGGGCTGCGTTAAATTTCAATATATTTGTGGTAGGGTGGGAGTATTTCGGGTTATCGAGAATAGGTTGGCGGGCGGAAAATTAAATTCCAAGGTGATTCAAGGTAAAAATACATCGAGTCTTTCGAACCTAACCCATTATTCCGCCGGACAGTCCGGAATCCCGAGGGAACGTCCGCCCGGCCGAAATGTGACGCATAACAGCGACCGACCGTCGCACGCGAGTTTGGGCAACACTGCGCGTACGCGCAATACGGTCCTGTCGTATAATCCCGTGTATGCGTGCGCGGACGAGGGTGCCGTCGACGTCGAGACGTTTTGTTTTTTTTTTTTTTGTAAACGGGAACCCATTGTTGACGCGACGCGTCGTACCGTCGCACGACGGGCCGACGACGACCCAGACCCGTGCCCATTATAATATTATTTAATTGTCGTGCGCGCGCCCGGAGAGATAACGCGATTCGTTTCCGCGTTGCCGGATCTCTCCGACGGCGTCGCGACAGCGGCCTGTCGCCATAATATACACGGGGACGCAATTATAATAATACGGGGCCTTGTATTAATTACGGGCCACTCGACTTGTTACGGGCGTCTGCGGACGGTAAACGTTTTATGCGCGGGGACGACGGCGACGACGACGGTGGCGGCGGCGTATAAATCATGGGAACGCGGCGGTATAGAGAGGGCGCGGCCGTTCGGTAATAACATTAGACGCGCGGAGAAAATGGAAATTTACTCGCCCCGTTCGATACAACAAAACGCGTTAATTGTCTATATTATAATATTTGCTTTGTCGACCCGAATATAATATTGTTTACGAGTGCGTAACGTATTATACGCGTACGTATATAATATTCCGCGCGCGGCATTGTCGTTGTGATACTATTATTTATATCCTTTTGATTGTAATTATTTCAAGAAAGAAAAAAAAAAAACAGTTTAACAGGCTGCAGAAGCGGCAAAGAAAAAAAAAAAAAACGTTCGCCCCCGTGTATATTCCACCATTCCACGTACGCGCGTTAAATAATGTAGGGAAAAAAAAACGATTTATTATCATTTGTTTTTAATGGACTAATTTTTCGAGAAAAAAAAAACCCCTCGACACTCTACGTGTATACATAATACATATATAGGGTAGTACGTATACGTATTATTATTACGCGCATATTTATACAGTCTTTGTCACCCGCCGTCAGCTGGCCGCCGCTATATAGAAAGAGGATGTTTACGCTTTTTTCGTTTTACGATCGCTGTCCTTTTTTTTCGGGTTTTTTTTCCTTTTTTTTTTTTGTAATCTGTCATTTGTATAGCCATTCTACGGCACGTCGACCGTAACTGTAAGCGCATTCGTATTGCCCACACGTGTGAATATCGTACACGAACAAAATGAAATGTATTATATATTATACCTATACATATAATACATGCCGTTGTCCAAACAACGATTCCGTTTGATAAATAAGAGAACGTCGGTTTTCAAAAACCAATAAATAAACCCTCCCTCTCCACCGGAAAAAAAAAAAAAACCGAACCATTCGAAAACGATTTTCGCGATAAAATAACAATTATCAAAAATGCGCACGCAAATTGACATTCGCGAAATCAAAACATGTAGGTATATTATTGAAATTTATAACGATAACATTGTATACATACAATATGCATACACGGTGGCGTCATATTCCCTGGGAAGTGACGTTATGTATATAATTATCTTTTTTGATGTAGGTTTTTTTTTTCTTTGTGTAATATACAAACGAGTTTTCGATCAACTAATATATTTTTTTCTTTTTTACTAACTTCTGCGTTAAAATGGCATCACGTGCTCGGGTGGTTCCCGTTTTAGGGTTCTGTACGTTACATTACGGAAAGAAAAGATTCCGTCGCGCGATTATAATTTACAATATAATATACTGAATCCTCTGTCGTTGAAAATTCCGGGGCGCGCCACTGAAAATAGCCGCGAACCCTTCCGAAATACTGAAAATATCATCCTGAAACGCGTATAGCTTAAGGGATGAAACCTGCACGTCGTTTGTCGGCGCGACGACAGGCGTTCCTCATTACTATAGGCTTAGGGACTTATAGCTCTAAAAACATGCACACACGCCCTAAACAAATTGTTTTTATTGAAATTGCACGCTAAAAATTAACTAATTACGATTATTTCATTTGTATTCATAGTAGTATTATATTAATGGTATTCACACGTATAACTTTTGTGTTTTGAGATTACTAATTTGAGATTTATTGATCAAACTAAGTGATAACTAAATTAATTATTTTACGATTCGACTATCGCAAACCAGTGTGTATGAATTTGAACGATGTAAATCGAAAAAAACGCGTATAATACTCGGCATACAATCAAATAATGTTATATATGAGTGTATGTCCTTTTATATAATCCTGCGAAAAGTTACGTACTCCTAAAATATGTTCTAAAAAGCAAAACCAGTAGAATGGTTTGACTGCTATTTTTTTAATCTTTTAAAAATAATATGCAAATGCTAGACATCTCTAAACCCACTCGTTACAATAATATTATTATTGGCGAATAAATTAAGACAAAGCAGCACAGCACGACCGCAATCTCGTTTGCCGTTATTAACGCACCCGATTATGACTTTCGTTCTCCTCCGTGTTCGAATATGTTATATTATAGAGCAGTGTTTCTCGATCTGGAGGTTACGGGTCTCCTTTGGGAGGTTCACACACTAAGGGTGGTTGAAAAATCGAATATTTATTTAGAGGGTAGTGACAGTAAAAAGTAAAAACGTAGTCGGGCACTTGGGCGAAATACATTTCAAAAGGCTACAACATAACTAAACACAGCCATTTACGTCCGAAATTATGGTTAGCGTAGGTTTTTTTTTCTGTAATGAAGTACATTCATTCGGTTCGGCAGCTAAACTTTGGCCCAAAATGAAGCGTTATCTCGGAAAGTATATTATTCGTTTTTTTCAACGAATTTTCATTATTTCGTTTTTTTTTTTTTTTTAAGAACATATTTAATAAACAAACGGATCGATAAAATATTGCGCTTCTGTTATTTTTTTTACCGTCCTAATTTTCGGAAGGGTTGAAACACAATACTGGCCACATTCCATTTTCAAAATATCAATCTATTTATAATATTATATTAAAAAATCCACTCTTTCCCGCTACCCAAGAAACACGGCAAACTCGCAAGCGGAACGTCTCGTTCACGAAAATCAAACACATTTCAACGCCGAAATTTGTTCAAACTAAAATTTTATCTATTCGTAGTATTTTTAATTAGTTATAATCGTATTAATAATGGGTTTCTGTTTCACCGCCTAAATTTCATCCACGGAAATGTAAAGCGCTGCTCGTGTCTCAATCAATATTTAAACAAATTTCGAAAAACAATTTATATTTTCCGAGATAATGACAGTGTCTCACTTTGTATAGTTATTTTTGCGATATTTTTATAGCGCGCGGTGCGTCTCTTGTGCGTTTATATACCGTCGTCGCGAACAAAATTGGTTAAATTTTCGACGTTTTTAACGATGGCCGCTGCGCAACACAACTGCAACACGACTGCAAGCACAATTTAAAAAAAAAAAAAAAAAAAAAAAAAAACGATACGAGATTTATTTGGCTAACGATAAAAATTATAAAACCGTTTAATCGTTTTCGTGTTTATGACGTAATTTTAATAAGCACACAGTACACCCGCCGATCGTTTATACTTATACACCTACCTATACGCATTGATTTTTTTTTATAATGTTTATGCAAACCGCAGGCGTTTAACGATGGGGCGGCCGCGGCTACGTTGAAATTAATCATTATACATAATTAATCATATTATTAATATACATAATATGAGGAGGAGTAAAAGCCCTATTTTACAGTATACCGCGAACGGATTTAAATAATCGACGAAATCTCGAACAAAAATCGTTATATTTTGTTCGTATTCAAAGACGGGACTATATCGCTCACCCCAAATCTTTCCAAATCGACATTTTTTTTTTAAATCTATTAACGAATACCGTTCAACATTAAACATAATTAAAGGGCAAAATTATTGGTTTTTTGTTTAGCTCGAATAGAAATGCAATCGCAAACAACGGTTTTAAGTAGTGCGGAAACGCGCGAGAGAACGGCAACAATATTTTATCCTTAGAGGAGTTACCCTTATACTGGTACCGTCTTTTTTATTCAAAAATTACGTACATACGCAATACTGACTGTATGTTATATTGTATTATTATTATACGGTTTTTTAAATTCAAAATAATATATAACGCGAATATGGATCGATATTATACCGCACGTGTACGAACTATAATATACGTAATTTTTTCTTCTCGTTTCTATGGCGAAACAAAATTTAAAAAAAAAAAAAAAACCTCAGTCATACGATATTTTATCGTATATTCTAAAAATCACGCGCGCAATAAGCGTTTTGTAAGCATCGCCGACCCGTGGGCAGGACGGACGTGTATACAAACATCGTAGTTTCGACCGACGATGATGCCGCCCATAAAATTTGAAAAGAAAAAAAAACATACAGATTTTGTTTATAAGGCCACGGGTTCTCTCCGCTAATATAATAATAATAATAATATGTGTAACGACGTGTTTACGAGACGAAACGTTTGTAATATTTATAATATTATGTAGCGAATAATACAAATAATACAAATAATAATAATAATAATAATATATTGTGTATGTAACAACAAACGGAGCGGGAACGACGAACGCTGGCAGTGTTATATAATCGGCCGGGATTTACATAAACGAGAGGAAAAAAAAATATATATATATAATAGAGGGCTGTTATAACGACGTTGTGTTTTTTCGTAGGCGTTAATTGGTCGTAAATACGTAGAGCGGCGGACAAAGACTACGGCGGAGGAGTGGTTGGGCGGGGAGAATGGGTTAAAAAGCGAGCGAGGGCCTGACAGGACTGTTTGAACGGTCGCTCGGTGAAAATAATATAAAATCGATTCCTTTCAAAACGCGATTCCTTTATTATCCCTCTTATCCCACAGCTATGCCCTTTACGGGCATTTCGTTCGGTTCATACATACATTACACTATTATACGGCATACAGAGCGTTCGCGATTTATCGGCGATTTTCTCGGAGGGCTTTAAGCGAATTCGATTGTTTTTTTTTTTCTTTTTCCAAATCGTTATGTGGAACCGTTTACAATAACAATGTATGTTTTATTTCGAACGCCGTTTTCAAGTGCGCGTGTACACCAACTTATACCTTAGACGAGTGGCAAACGCCACGTTATCTGTATGTTTTAAACTGCAGTTATCTTTACTACTCGTGGTTTTACGTTAAATATCCGACGTCGGTGTGACGCGACGCGATCGCCGCTCGACAATAGCCAAAGTGTATGACACTTGTAATAAGGTAGGTACGTAATATGTAAGGACCGTATACAAGAGTGATGAACGCGCGAAGCTTATAAACGGCCCCGTAAAAAGATAAAGATGGAAGAGAGTAAACGGAAATCGATAATATTCATTTATAAAAAAAAAAAAATCCCCCGGGTAAACGCGGTTCGCCCTGTATATTATACAAATAATATCTCTCTCTTGAGCGGTCGCTCTCCTACGAAATAATATTATTATTATTATACTCGCTGCGGCGCAGTATACGGGGGGGGGGCACTATACACGGGTTTACAAGGTTTTTTTTTTCTCTCTATATATTTTTTTTTTCCGACCGATTGATCACAATGACTGTTTTGTATAATGGCGCGTGCATTATATTATACTGCCTCCGCCACTGCAATAAGGTGGGGGAAGAGACACAAACGTAGAGAGAGAGAGAGAGAGATAGAGATACCTATATTATTATTATAAGTGCGACGGCGGCTGTGTACCATATAGGTTCACGGAGTCCGGGGTACACCGAACGTTTAAACTGCACCGGTGTAATAAATACGACGACGACGGCGGCGTGATAAATTGTCGATTTGACATATTTCTTTATAATATAATAAGTATATATAGTGTAGTAATAATGCGCGTTACAATTTGTCGTATCGCCGCGCAACGATACATTATTATATTGTAAACGAGTATTCCAGTTTTTTTTTTTTTTTTTAATATTATTATTGTTTTATACTATTATATGGCGCGTATACGCACACCACGCGGCTAATAAACGTATAAAATATATAAAAATGTGCGCGTACGGACAAAATCGTTCGATAAACACGTACGAGATTTCGAAAAACAAAAAAAAAAAAATCGCGATAATAGAACGCGAAATAAATATCGTTCGTCGTATACCGAATAATAATAATAATAATAATAATAAGGTATAAAACATGGGTACTTACTGTATTATCAAATCGGTCGGGAACGGCCGGGGAATTTATCACGTGATTTTTTAAAAACGGTTTTTTTCTCTCTCTCTCTCTCTCTCTCTCTCTCTCCCCCGAAGTGCATTGTACAGGTACGGGCGCCTATAATATTCGTACACGCACAAATAGAAACGAATTATTGTTTTTGCGTAACACTACGTGATGCGCGGCGGCTCGAATTAATATTGTAACCGCCCGATATCGTCAAACAACACGAGAGTGTAATTATTATAACGCCACACGTAGGTACGCACATGCACGTCCTACAATGGGTGTATAGGTAGTTACGCGTGTTTTAACGGCTCGATAAATCAGGTGCGCCCATTGATAAAAAAAAAAAAAAAACCGGCGCGCCGTTAATATGGGTAATAATAATTTACGCGGAGTAGTAGTTTTTTTTTTTTTTTTTCATCACTATATTATTATTATTATTATTATTATAATATAATACGCGATGACTAACGCGAGTTTAACCGTTGTTTATTTATCGATACGAATATTATAATATTATTACGTGTACGCGCTCGTATACATATAATAATATATAGGACAGGTACTCATATACTAGGTATATTATACACGCTAGTACATTATATGCATATTATAATAACGTATGTGTACATCGAATGCATCTCGCGAACGAATAATAATAATGCGATACGCACGCATAGCGTTTTTAATTCATCGGTATAAATACCGATAAAAAACGGAAATATTAGTCATGAAAAAAATCTATAAATATACGTCGTATAATAAGTCGTGTCAATATTGGTATTGTAGTAATAATGATAATAATAATACAAATAATTTGACGAGGACATTTTTTTTATTTTTTTCATTACGATAATAATAATTCGCGGAAAACATATTTTTATTATCTTTTTTTTAAATTGTTATTTATAATTTTTGAACACCTATATGAGGTATATCGCGTTGAATAAAAAAAAAAAAATAAAAAAAAACGAAACGCAGTTCTGCTTTATATTTTATAACAATGTATATTATAATATTATTGTCGTTATTACGCGGACATTATTATTATTTTTTTAACAGAATATAATTAAGACACGTGGACTGCAATGATATAATATCTATGCTATTGAGTCACCTTATAGGTACGCGCCGTCAATGAATCTGATGTGATACATTTTATCGGGTTTTTTTGTTTCGAATACGATATGATTAAAATATTCCTTTCTTTGTTCGAACCGAATGCACTTTTCGGTTAAAAATGTTCTAAAAAAAAAAAAAAAAAAAAAAAAATACGACCTCTATAAAGACTAGTATAGAATTTCACAACACTTTGTAGACGATAAATTTGTCGATAACGACAAAACGATGCCGGGAATGGGATTATTAGCATTGTTATTATATATTAACAATCGTATTTTTTCCCTTGTGTCGGCCGATAAGATAGTTCAGAAATCAAACGAAAATTATGCAAAAAATCGATCGTTTTTCCCGATTGTTTAGAAAACTATAAGGAAAAACGAAGTATGATTCCTGTATACTCAACGTGTCAACCGGACGGAAGATACCAGACAAAGAAATCCCATATAAAGTTGCCTATAAAAGGCGAGATTTCTGGCGAAAAATTGTTTAAAGACTCGGGATACAAAAACTCGTAGAACCACAGAAAAACCAATAATACATTACTGGCTCGGGATCTAAAACACCGCGTTGTAAAGTTACACGAGTGTATATACGGTTTAGCCCGAGGTCCCGATTAACGTTTATTTTCGAAATTGAATTGAAAAACAAACGAAAGCACCAAAAATACGATACCTTTACGATGGGAAAACATTATTACGAAAAAGCTTCATTATCTATAGTGGTATTATTATTATTTGTCTAAACACGTGTCGTTATTTTAGATTCTGAGTGTATCGAAGAATGTATTGGTTTTACAAAGATATATTTCTTTTTATATATACTGTGTACAAAAATTCTACCAAAAATCTTACTCCAAAGTATTAAGTATACCATCTTTTCTGAAAGGGAATTTTCCTGGGATAGTATTTTAAGGAGATCATTTTTTGATTTTCCCTGCATAAATGGGAAAAACATGGTGAAAATCGGGAAAATAGGGGAAAATAGATACGATATTAAACAAATATCACTAAAGAAAATATAGAACGCATATATAATTATTTTACCATAATGTGACATCATATCTTATAAATTGTTGACAAAGCAACACTATATTAACCGAACTCCGCTCAGAATGGTTTTTCGTTAACTGCGATAGTTAATCGCTGCGTACAGATATGCATTGAATTTCCCCTCTACCATCCCAACTTCTCGTCTACAACAGTGGGCCACCCACGTGCGAAATATGTCCGTTCTTTTTTCACTTTAAATCCATCGTTAACGAATACACAAGTATGCGTCTTATGTAACGTTATAAAGTGTGGGTATAAATAAGTGATAACATTTTAAACGTATACCGACTCTCCGCATCGAGACCCGTACCCATATATTGTTATAACCAGCGGTGTCCTCCCATATATAGGGTATACTATACATCTACCTATACTCTCGACGTTCTATTGAAAAATCACGGGTATACTCTTAAATAGGTAAAAATAATAATATAAAATCCGTCATGATATATTAACATTATGACCGGTTCGTACGGCTTGTGCAGTCACTAAAATACCTAAACGGTAATAAAATTTGTATTTATTTCAGCTGAAAATTTCACAAATTTCTTACGATACATATATAGTACTTCGTTATTTTTAAAAAATGTCGAGTGTTTTGTTTCAGTAATTTTAATTTATTATATTTGTATAGTTGGTATCTATTTACTTGCATACAATCCGTATAAGAATGTTATCAAATTGGGCGTTACAGTATATTATAATATACTCCTCTCGAATGAAATTATGGGAACACCGCCGGTTATTATAACAGCGCAATGTATACAATAATAATAATAATAATAATAATATTATATCGGGTACCGTCAAACACGACGTTTTTTTTTTTTTTTTTAATAATATTTCGTTGTTTGTTATACGAAACGGAAAAACGAAAACACGAAACGTATTCGCTGTATAGCTGCGTATAAGAAAAACAAATGGTTTTTTTTGTTTTGTTTCCTCCCCTAAGGGCCACGAGATGATGTCTGATTCAAGCTGCGCGAGCTTACGGACGAGTAATTTTTTTAAATTGCATTTTTATAAAAAAAAAAAATATATGTATATTATACGTTTTTCAACGGTTAAATTAAATACTGACGCGATGAATAAAATAAGAGAACCGAAAAAAAAAAAACAATATTTATATACCTAATGTATACAGCCTGCTGCAGTATTTACTTCGATGATTAATGGGGAGACGCGCGCGGTATAATATTACTTTTCCAATGATAAATTAACATTTCCGTATACCTATATTCATAATATAATTGCACGTATATATAACGCTTTAATAACCGAATTATAATAACTGAATTATACGGATAAAATTCTAAACGAGTTATGTCACGAATATCACGAGTCAGAAGTATTTCAATATATTTTTTTTTTTTTTTTTTTTTTACGAAAATTCTCGTCACTATATTTTGGACGAATGAAATAATAATAACGCGTTAATATACGTACAATAATTGGTTCGCTCGCTGCTATTTACGGACAATCTATAGACCTCGGAGCTGTACGGTAGAAACCTCTTCGATTTCTTATAGCAGCGAAGAAGGGCAAAAGTAAATTTACGGCGTTTTTTTTTTTTTATATATAATTATGTCTAATGTAAATTATTTGTTTCCGTTTATATTCGGGTCTAAATGGCACACGAGTGTTTGTATTCTAACACGTCGCGCGTTATACCGCGAATATTGAAATCCTTTTAATAAGTCATTTTATAATGCGACGTGTACGCCTATATTTCGTTTGGCCAAGACATAATATAATATTGTATACGACTCGAGCCATTTACAACCGCCATATTTGGGTCGGGTCGTTTAGCAATTTATAGCCACTTACCGGTATTTGTACATGGCATATTGTGGCATTTAACACTGTATTCAAAATCGAATTCGCTATTGTATTGAAAACCGTACGACATTGACTCGCGAGCACTTCTTCCCCGGGAGACCCAAAGATTTATTACCTACCGCGAAACACGCGCGGGATATTATTAAATAGAATGTTTTGGGGTTTTTTTTTTTTTTTCGCGATTGATTTCTTCTAGACCTGGCCTTACCTATATATCATACGGAATATCGGTACGAAAATAAGTCACCGTCGAAAAATGCGTCGGAGGCTGCAAAGGTTCGACGCGGATGAGAGTATTATAATACCTAGCTAGTAGCTATATAAGGATAATAAATCAATTCGATTTTTTTTTTTTATTTTTTGTTATTTTATACCGTCACGTCGACGGGCGAAACGGGTGCGAAATTCGACGGGATTCGGGAAGAGACACTTATACGATATACTCAATATTATATATAATGTCGATTGATCGATTTCAATGACGCGAAATTTTCGTGCAACAACATAATATTATAATTCAATATTATACTGAACAAGGGGCGGGGTTCTCGCGTTTCAATGCAATATAATCGAAACGATAATCGCTGCTGAGCTACAACAACGCTGTACACCAGGTATAAAAGAAAAAAAATAATAATAATAGTGTCGATAAATGCAATACGAGCCAAAAACATATTGCGAGACAACCGTGGGCGCGACAACGCAAATTATCGTCGTTATTATAATAATTTATAGATAGTCGTAAATAATATTTAGCGGAGAGACTATAGATAAAAAAAAAAAAACAAATTTTAAAAAAATAGTCTCTATGTACAGTAGTACACGAGGAATGAAAAATAGTACGACGAAAACTGTACACTGTCGGCCGTCTATTGATTTTTCGATTCGATTTTGAGCAAGCGTTGGTTTTACTGCGATGTGTCTGTGTACACGACTTTTACCATCGAAATATTATATCGCTCCGATCAAAATACGTACAAGAACGTTCTCGTATAATTTTCCATCTAATCGGCCCACCTGGGAGGTATATTTTTTACGTCCTCGTAGTTCTCGTGACAAATGGGAAAACCGAGAGCGGTGTTTAGTTTGATTTCCGGTCATTTCCGGGTTACACCTCGGCAACACGGTACGGTCGAAAAATCTGATAATCCGCTCAGAATCGTTTTCCGTTGCGTATACAGATACATTAACGTTTTAACCCAAACTCGCCTTGACTTTTCACCAACACGGTTACCCGTCGGTTTCTCGTTTTCGGTACAGATTTTTAAAAGCAAGGACCCGCTCCGGAAGACGAAGACGACGCGCGCAACATTTTCGATCGTAATAAACGTAAAAATGGCGTTTCCGTTGAAAAAGCAAGTAGTTCGCGGAAAATGCACGTACGTCTGTAACGTGAAATTCGAAAGAACCCGGTGTGCCTATGCACGCATAACGTCTCTGCGGTTAAGGTGTTACGCGCGTATTATAATTTATTATATTATAGGCGCCGTACCTGCGCGTAGAATATACGCGATAATTTACTTTGGTTCGCGCCAAAGTCAATCGCGATTCCGTGCGCGCCGCGGCGGCGGCAAACATCGTTTAATTAATTAATTAATTGGCCGGAGATGGAGTTTAAAAGCAATGTCGTTAAACCCGTCGGCGGCGCACGGAGAATACTCCGGGGGGAGGGGGGNNNNGGGCGAGGCGCGGCGGCAAGGGAGTCGGTTATGCACTCGGTATAAAACGACCGTCTCTCTCCGGAGAGAGACGGGGCCCCGGCGGGTTAAGGGGTTGAATTAATTGAAGCCGCGTTCGCGATATTCCCTCCGGCCGCGCCCCGTGCCTTCCTTCCGCGCGCGCGCGCGCTCCGAGAGAGAGAGAATTATTATTACGCGAAACAAAATAACATCGAAACGACGACGATAACAATAATAACGTTACGGCATATCGTCGGGTGGGTATCGTAATTTATAAAATATATTATTACGGATCGACGGCGGCGTTATAGTTATCGCGGTACGCAATACCGTCGCTTAGACGTGCAATGGCGCGTATCGTGAAATTCGTGTGTGTGTGTGTGTGTGTGTGTGTGTGTGTTATCGGTTTGTTAAAACAAGAGTTAGAACTTTTTGCCTTTGCGTTTTTTTTTTTTTTTTTTTTCAGAATACCGCTGCGCGAGTTAATTTTTATGCTCGTCTAATCGCGGATCAACCGCGCTCTAGTCGGAACAACAAGTTCGGCCATAAACGCTTTGGGTTTTATAATATACAATCTATACAAATAGTTCAAATGATTCAAATGTTTACGATATTTCGAATATTACTGAAACAGGCGAAAATTAAATAACATGACGCGCAGGTCAACTTGTTAAGAGGACGGTACACATCGTGCATTTGTTGTTTCGACAAACGCACGACACACGCAGACCGCGTTTAACCCAGCTTAATAATTTCGGTTTCAGAGTAAAAACACCCATTATAAAATCAAAAGAGAATAATATTCCGGGGGGGGGGGGGGCAAGACGTTACGTTTTTTTTTTTTCATTTTTCGAGCGTTTCCCGAATGCGCGTTTTTTATTCCGTTTTAGACGAGTGTCGCCTTCTCAAAAACGTTTTTTCGATCGTTTCGTAAAACTACAAAATCCGAGATACGCGCTATAAGCATAATATTGCGGTACAAGCGACGATACACGTTGTACGGTTCACCGTCCGACTACACCCGTGCACGCTACACCCAGCGAGTGTAACTGCAGGCGTATCCGGACATGTATATATATATATATATATACATATATTTGATGATATAAAGCGAAACACGTTTTTGGCGATTGATCGAAGGGGCGGGTTACCTGTATTCGGTCGGTACACCGGCAGATTCGGACGCGCGTTCAAACGGTTTTAGCCGAACGCCACAGCCGTTTCTCATTGTTCGCGGTTACGCGATTCCGGTGCGATCAAAGTGATTCGGCGAAATGCAGCGTACGATAGGGTCGCGGCATTTGGTTAATCGCCAAAATGCTCGAATAATAACGATTATCAATATCATAATGTAAAGCCGTACAATGCCCTCGTCAATATCATTCGAGAAAAACAGAAACGGGATTAAAATGAGAAAAACGTTGAAAAAAAAATAAAATAGACATTACTGTAAAACCTATAAATTCCTCGCTCCACGCGGAATCTAAAATGTATGATATTTACGTTTATTGTGTAATCTCTGAAATCACTTTGAAACGCGTGCAGTTTCGTGGGCACAGTTTTCGGAAAAATTGTTTAGTGCCAACAATATTATTTCGTACGGTCGAGTGGTGCGAATGTGCAAACATTAAATCAGTATTTCAATTGTAACGGACGCGTTTTAAACGCTCAATATTTCCGATTATTTGTTTGTGACTCAGCCGACGGGGGCCGGTGGCGCGATCGGAGACTAGAGGACTAGGGGGTTTGGCCCTCTATAGACCGTCTCTGGAGGCGCCACGCCGCGGACCGCATTCGTTTAATATTACGACAGGCCCCGAGCACATACCCACCCCCTCCTCACCCACCCGAACTGAGATTTACGAACTAATCGCGTCACCGCTGGATGGGCAGGGGTCCACGGCGCACTGCATCAACGTGCAGACGGGATTTTATCCGTTTCATTTGGTGCATTATCGGTGCAGCACGCGAAAACACCGCGCCCTCTCCGGGGCGACGGACAGGTGAACGTTTTCGAGGCGCGTCGTAATTATTATATTGTTTCGAACGCGCGGTGCACGATGCGGGCGTCCCGTATTCCCGCGGAGCCTGTTTAGAAAAAAAAAATGAAGTTAAAAAATGAAAAATTACCGAGCCACCGTTTGTGTAAATAATATAGCGCGTCACGATTGTTCCGATGCGCGTCGTCGCAGAGAGGAGAAAGAGCCCCTCGCCGCCCCCCATCACCCCATACCCTCCGGACGCGGAATACGTGCGGACGGCGGCGATTCGGGGTTTCGACCACCCCTCCGTCGTTGTCGTCGTCACCGTCGCTTCCCACCCCCGCCGCGGGTATTTCGACTGTGAAATTAGTCGTCGATGGCGGACGGACGAGAGGTGGCGCGGGGGGNGGGGGGGGGGGGTAAGGAGCGGTAAGCGCGGCGTCCCGGCGACCGTCCGACGCGCACGCGCACCGTCGCGCGCGACGGTTTAACGCTCGCGATATCATTGGGTCGTCGTTTTCGACGCGGATACTTTTCGGCATATCGCGCGCAATAAAATAAAAACACGCATTGTCGGCCTTTTGTTTTCGGTTTTTTCCAACCGACGTCGAACACGATAACGCGACGGCCCGCTTCGATCGGCCGATTACCGGGCGCGGACGACGTTGCGACGTTTTATTATTATCCGTCGTACGGTACCCACCCCTCGTCGCACCGGACGCCGACGTCGGCGGGCGCGCATGCGACCAATTAAAACGCGTTTCCGTCGCGCGCGCTTCATATTGTTCGTCGGAATTCGTCCAATTAAACAATAATAATTTATGTATACACCGCGGCTGCGATTCGCCGGCACCGCGCTATTATTTTAATAATATAACGTACACAGAGAACGAAAATAAACGTTGGAGTGCGACGGTGCGGTTTTTTCTCTCTTTCTCTCTCTCTCTCTCTCTCTCTCTCTCTCTCTGTGTCTCTGTCTATCTCTGCCTTTCGGTAGTCACGGAGGAAATCACGCGTCGTCGACACGATATTATTATTATTATTATTATTATCTTAATGGATATTGCACCGCACACGCCGCCCCGAGGACTTTGAATCCGTCCGAAATAACCGCGGCACCGCTCTACAGGTCCCCCCGCGACGGTGAAAACGACCGCGACAATATTATTATTATACGCACGTTATACACGCGCGTATAAATCGATTCGTATTTAGGTGAGTCGCCCGACTCGTCGTCACTTTCGTTTTGGAAACGGGCCAACGATAAAATTATATAGAAGTGCTATATCAGCAGCAGCAGCAGCAGCTGCTGCTCTCCTCGTTGTCACGCGAAGCAATTAAAAGCAATTACAACGGTCCGGATAAATTATTATTAAAATACAACGGGAGCGAACGAAAATCATTATTATCTTCGATCAAACGGAGAAAAAAAAAAGTCGTTTAAACGTCTCGTAGTTTGTCCGCCATTAAAAACCCTTTAACTACGCACATACTTCGCACCACGGGCAGGCCACTGTTGTACGTGCGGGTAGTTGCAGGTAAGGTATTATGCATAGGACGATCAGGGCGATTAGTACCAGACGTGTTCGGGCCGACATTTTCTACGGCATTTGTGTATAAATAACAAGGAATCGCCGTAATCGAAAAACAATAGTGTCTGTTCCCTCGTGTACCCTGCAAGGTAACTCGCAAATACACTGTAATAGTATAACATCTGTGTTGAACTCCTTAGAATAACCGTTGGTAATCTGGAAAAATTGAACGAATAAGAGACCGCCTTCGCAAAATCAGCAAAATCCGCTTATTATAAGATGGTTTAAACGTGAACAATTCAGACCGTTTTCACCGCCTCGAAATCGTCATAATAGTAAATCGAATACAGTCTCCACTCGGTTCTGATTAAAAAGTATATCGTTCCTATACACAATATCTGAACGTTGACGTCAAGAAGGGCCGAACTCTGCAGTTTCTCGAATCACCTTGCAACTCTCAAGCAGTCGGATCGGTCGATTTTGAATAGCATCGGTAAATATTTTTACAACATGCACATATAAGTTTATCGAAATTTTAGTGATCAAGACCACCTAGCCCCTGATTACTGCTGCCCCGTAGAGCAAGAAAATATACAATTGTACGTGTTATAAAGAAAAAAAAAATCGAGTTTGGCCTTGTCCCTCACAAGTCCAGATACGTTCTATTATTCTAACGATTGCAATCGGTTTTGTTTTTCTCTAAACGCGTTTATCGGACAAAAAACTATCGACGCCTTAAAACGAACGTACGGAACAAATATTTTAACAATAATCATTGTTAACGCGATTGGGCGACTGGGCGATATGTTTCGAGATTAAAACAATACAGTTTTGAAAGTTTATGTTACGCATTTATTTATGTATATAGCTGGTATACTATATTATAGAACACCACAGTGATCGATAGTAATACAATATTGTTTTATATCATAAACAGTGTTGTAAGTATACGCGTGTCGTTGTCGTCATCGCGATAACGCACGATATTTCGCAACAATCATAATATATTTAATAATAACGCGAGTGTTAAAATGAAAAAAAACGTTTTTAAGAACCTCGTTGCGAAATATGGTCGCACCAGAAGACCGATTAACAAACATGTCGTATACCATTCGCGTAATGATTGAATTTAAATTTTATTCGGTAGACGAATTTTTTTTTCTAAATTGAACCGTACGACCCCCACGCGGTAATATAGTCGGACGACGGTGAACGATATACTCTATCAATAATATCGTATTTCGGACACGAAATTTATACAAAATTATGAATTCGATTGACACTGGCCGCGAAAACGTCGTCAATGCGCGTTTTGCTATATGTTAATTTCATATATTTTATTCGACGGGCGCGCATATCGCAAAACGATCCACGCATTTATAATGTATATTTGACTATGAAATAATACAACTGGGATAGTAGGTTATTTTTCGCAGTCATGGACGAGGTGTTGAGAATCAGCGGGTACTCTCGCTACCCGACAACAGATATAATAATATAACTTCTATTCGATCCGTAAAAATAAAAAAAAACACTCAAAATCACGTTTTCGTCGTTCGTCTCTCTCCGCGGGGACAAAGAAAACGACGACGGCGTGAATCGGTTTTTATGCGCGGACGACTATAATAGACACGCGACACGATTATAATATAAATTATAAAAAACACGTATAAAAAAAAAATAATAATAATAACAACGTCTACGGGCCGGGCGGAAAAAAAACGCTCTGCGGGGCGCGAACTACGTTATTTTTAATTTATAAAAGGGACGGGCCCCCGCGCCGCCATCGGCTGACACGAAAGACTTACGCGGCGGCGCTGCGAAGCTCGTTAAAAACACGTCATCCGGCGTAATACGAACAAAATGTCACCGTTTATATATTTAATACATTTTTGTTTTATTTTATTTTTTATTTTTTTCATCGTCTTCTTGTCCACAGTGTTCGTTCGATTTTTATGATAAAATAACCGCATAGCGATGATGGGCACGATCAAATATTTACTATCGCATTTTTTAATAGTTGATCGATTGATTAGGAAAAAAGAAAAAAAAATGTTTTATCTATTATTCGATAGTTTTACTGAATATAGCTCGTACGAAATAATATTCGGAAGTACCCAATATCATTAATAATTATGAATTTATGACCAAAGTGTTTTCAATCTAAAACGTCAACCGGCACCGCGCGACTCGTGCGTATATTTATAAGTCAGCACCACGAAATGTTTTTCGGCCATTCCACCCTCGAAACAAATCGGATCACTTACATACATATACTTATGTAAGACGCAAATCAATACATCGTTTGAGGAGAAGTTTCTATTTACTTTAGATTTCGGGTGGAGCGAGTCATTTTTTGATTTTCCTAGGCGTTTTCATAATAAATAGGAAAAACGGGAAAATTTACGAAATGTATTTTTTTAAAACTTTAAACTAATTAATTACGACCTTTTATAACGTGTACAACTAAACTCTGCTTAAAATCATTTTTCGTTAGCAATGATCAATCGTTGCGTACGCAGATATACATTAAATTTCTCCTCTATCATTTCAACGTTTTACCTACAGCAGTGACCCGCGCATCGTGTGAAGTATATCCGTTTTTTTTCTTTTTTATGAAAAATGAATTGTGAATTACAATTTGTAATATACGCGAGAGAATGTAACGGACAGTGAGATTACGGGCAACAAGTAGGGGTATTCGTTATTGTCAGGAAGTCACTATATTTATATACGCTTGACGGTATACATTTTTGTTTTCAGAAAAGGAAGAGGTACAGATAAGAGAACGTCGACAGTGTATTGTGATTCTGAGTGTAGTATAGATTTCGAGAGGTTATTTTTCTCAGATAACATTTTTTGTTTAGTATGAAAATACTCAGAACTATTCACGCCGCCCTGCCTTAAAATATAAGAATGTTTGACACGCGAAACTTAATTTAACACGCTTCTTGAAATTTACAATAATTTTTCCAAAAACTTGCTTTTTTTTAACACTATTTTGGTGTAGTAAAACAACGTTCTGTTTTTTCACGCAGTACCTTTCAAATATGCGCAATTTTCGCCCGAACCAATATAAATGACACTCGAATTATTTCGTGTGCGAAATGCGTATAAAAACGCATTATTTCGATCAATCGTTTTTATCGATGCGCAATTTAATCATTTACTCGTCTATGGAATATCGTGACGCACAAAGTGCGAACCCGAAAAAATGTTTACTCGTCGTTTCGCTTTTTTGGCAAACGTATCGAAAATAACGATAAATCGTAATCGCCAGCAGACACGGACAAAAGTCGAACCGTACGCGCGTCGGCGGAACAACGAAAATTAAACGAATAAATGAAAAACCACATGAAATAATATTTATCGTAACTGAACCCATAATCGCGCGTCGAATCGCCGAAGGAGACGACAACAGCGAACGCGTCGAATCCGATTACGGTGAGCTCGAGACGTTTTGATGAAACGCGGAAAAAACAATTATTATTATTATTATTTTTTTTTTTTCTAAAAAGTATAATAAAAAAAAAATCGATTCAACGTTAATCCGCGCGGCGAATCGTTGACCGGCCCGAACCGGTCTGCCCCGTGTGTCGACTGCTCGTTCCGATGCAGCTCTGTCTCCGATTAATTAACCGAGTATACCAAAACAACAATAATAAATTTACGTAGGTACGCAATGCGCGTTGAACACGTCATGAAAGTACCGCTCCCCTCCCCGAATAAATAAAAATGTAAAATTACCATTGTGTTGTAAATATTATTGTGCATTATCGTAATTGTGTAACGTTAATCGAGAGTGACCGTCGCGTGATGATGCGGCCGTTCATTATCATTTCATACACGGTGTCGGAAACGATGAAAATTCGCTCGTTAAAAACGTCCGACAACGATTCTATTGCATTGCGGTCTGAAAACGCCGCATGTTTAGTGGGGAAAAAAAACCCCCCCCGCTGAAAATGGGCAACAGCGACGAGAACTATAACATTTCAATATTTGTTGTAGCGCTATGGATTTTCAGCGAATGCGGTTTTTTTTTTTTTTTTATTTATTTCGTACGTTATGGTTTTATTACGACGACGTGTGCGATTATTTTTTTTTAATTTTTAGTTTTTTTTTTTTTATCGGAAGTCGAGACGAAAGCTTTTATTTAGGATTCCCCGGATGCAGTTGTCGGCGCATAACGGGGGTTTGTCCTTCGACTTTCTTCGAAGGTTCAATAAATGAGCGGCGAAAACCTACGTAGGAACAACGAGAAAGTTTACAGAAATAACACATGTATATTGGCTTTTTTTGATATTTTAGATTTTTCACCATGTATTTTCCCATTACTCGTTGGTTAGCTATGCTTTCCCTATTCGTTTAAATGGTTCTTTTAATAATAAAAAAATTACGGTTTATTTTTTTTTTTTTTTTTCAAAGTTTATGTTATTTTCAAAAATATATATTCTTTTCCACGCCGTTTCAATAGACGAAGTGATCGTTTCGCGCGCAATTAAATAAAATAACCGCCGGTCGAACACAAACATATATATTGATTCGTTCGTGTTTGGGCTGCATAATAATGCATTGCGTTTTAATGAAACGGTTTCGAGCGGTTACCGTATATTATAATGTAGTGCACAGTGCAGCAGCAGCAACACGCCGAACTTAAATGACATTGTTTTTTTTTTCGTCATTTTTTTCTACGGCCGTCGTCACATGTGTTCAACAAGTGGAACTGGCGATCAAAGAATACGGCGCGCGGGTTTTTCACGGTACGGCGAACTTTTTTGTACAATTACGCGCGGCGTAAAACGGCGATAAATTAGTGTGAAATTAACGTCTTAAAATACGCGTTTTTTTTTTTTTTTTTAATATACATATATTTCGTGACGACACTGTATTATTGTATTTTTGTATATCTCTAACGCGCGCGCGCGACGAGTAATTAGCCACATGTTTGCACAAAATGCGTGGTGTTTTTATCATCATCATTATTATTATTATTATTATTCGGGTATTCGGCTATAAATCACGAAAATGAGAAATTATCGTTTGTTTATTCGCAAAACGGTTTTTCGCTCCCGCACAGTCAATGCGTATTATAATATATTTTTACACTCGTATACATTAATATTATGCATTTTTTTTTTTTTTTTACGGCATTTTCGATGAAGCTCTTCTGCGTAGTGTTTTTATTTTACAGATTAAATCGAGAAAAAAAAACAGCGTCGTGGAGTTGTTACGATTTCCCTCTCGGAGAAAAACTTTTCCTCTCAGGCAACGGGTAACTTATTTGAACAATATTGCTGTAATCATTCCGTAATTATTAGCATTTCGATTTTTTTTTCTCCCGTCCCGGGAACAAAACTCACTCGAACAAAGTCACTAAGTAGATTATTATAATATGGCTTACCCAAAGCGGTTGTACAGAACGACAAAAATAATATTTAAACGTTATTGGATATTGTTTTAAAAAAAAAACCGATTCTGAGTGGAGTAATTCAAGTAGCATTTTTCTTTTACCTGTGATTACGGATTACCCGGAAATCGACAAAAATAAAACAGATGTATCGTCATTTTGATGTGCACGTCGTTTTTTTTTTAAATTTATTAAAAAACGGTTTGCTTAAATAATGCGTTTTCTACAATTTTATATTCAGAATGTAAAAAAATAAAATAAATAACGTTTTAGGAATCTAGTGTTTTTTTTTCCATCATCAAAAAAATAAATGAAACCGATTTTGCAAAAAAAAAAAAAAAAATCCACTATTATTTCCACGTTTATCTGTATACTTTATTATACGGCGATGTGACGATTCGTTATGATTTTATGCGTACAAAACCCACGATTATAAATATTCGCATCCATAATACACTCGTACACGACGAATAATTGTGTCGGGCCAACCGAACACGATAAAGCGCCCAGTATTATGTGCAAATAGAATAGAAATTGACTTTTAGTCTGTCGATTAATGAATTAGGTCACCCCGACGTTCTGACACTCGCGGCCGTCGTCTAGACGCGTACACCCAGACGCGTTATTGTTCGGGCGAATGATTTAAATGCGTTTTAATTTAACACACGCGAATTATAGCGGTCGAAAACGAAAACCTCGAGTGAATATAATGACGTAATAATACAACAGTGGCGCGGGTCTACAGAGCTTCGGTTTTGGAGGGATGGGGGCGAAACTGTTTACGGCGAATGAAAATAACTATACGTTTTACTGCGACGCGAGAAAATACACAGTATACCGCGTGTGGACGGGACGGGCAAATGAAATTATCGAGCCCCCGGATCCGTCAGTGAGTTATACGGTACACTGCGAACTCGTATACAATCGGTCGTTTTTAAATACGCGCGATAACCGCGACGGCCGTCTGAATCCACATCATCATCTTCGTCACGTCAGATTAACGGACCATTATAGGCATTATAGCCGACTTCGTCAAGTCTCTTTGCCCCTCTATCATAAATCGTATCAAATTATATCGCGTCCAGATCAATTATTACAGATCTTTGTCAATTACATCGATCCACCGAGTTCCGGGTCTTCCTATTATTAGGAGTTCCGTTTTGTCTATTTTTCCCATGAGCACCTTCTTTATCGGTTGGCCATCCGAGTATGGCCAAACCATACTAACCGTTTTATTTCTGATAAACGAAGAATGTTCGGTTTATTATACAAATTGTTTGTAGTTTCTCGGTTTCTTTTTTCTCGAATTTATTTGTTTCCTGTTTGAAGCGTGGTCCATAAATATTCCGGAGAACTTTTTGTTCAAATATTTTATAATAACTATTTGGCATGACTTTTTTTTTGGCAGAAACCACCTGTGCGTACGTCACCGTTGCGTTGGTCTCGGGTAGCTGTGGTATGAACGCACATATTTAGGAGTTCCGAGGTAATATTTTTGATTTTTGAACGTTAACAGTACTATATACAGTGGCACTCATTTCCATTCATAACTCTAGCATTTACTTCACGGCGCATATCTGCGATTTTGCCGTCGGTATTTACGGCCAAATACTCAAAAACCGTCCGCTGATCTGCGTTTCTAAAATCGGCTTTCCCAACATCGGAGCCGTTTGCACGGCGATTTATACTGTTCCTCGAAATAACCGCGTGCTTAAAAGGATCGTGTAGACTTATTATGTCGCATCGAAAATCCGTTTAAACGAAACACAACACGGACGGGCAGCAGAGCCGCGGGCATACCCGTAATACTCGCGAAAGAAACTACCGACCGTTATCGCGACACCGAAAAATAAATTCCTCGCGCGGTAAACAGTTTCGTTTTTCTCCGACGAGATTCGGAAACACGCCGTCATCGTTGCCGCACCGCGCGTGGCGCTTGTTTAAGTACTGTACAGTCCAGAGGTATTTATAATTTTAACCGCTCGCACGTATCGTGTATGTGTATGTATACGTGTAGCGCGTTTACGAAATCCGTCAACGGGTCGTCGTCGAGGCGATTACTTTCCAAATAAAACTCTTTAGAAAGAGAGCCTGCTATAGCTGCTGCTGATGCTGCCGCCGCTGCTGTTGCGGTACGCGTATAGTATGACTGCGGTCTAAAGATAAATCCGTTGAAAACCGCCGGTGTGTGTTTGCTTTGGCCCGAGTGACGGTAAAATCGCTGCACCGGTGTACTGTGTGTGTGTATATATATATACGTATACAACAACTAAACACATCGCACCGCAAAGAACATACTATAATATCGTATATTATTATTTTCAGAACAGATTGTGCTATATATATATATATTGTGTGTAAATAATAATCGAAAACGTTTGTGAAACCTTGCGACGTACGCGGCGATTTGAAATTTTTCGAAAAACAATAAGAATTCCGATTGTGAAAATGTGTTTTTTACAATAATTCGATATCACGGCCGACCGCTTCGGATTTCGGACTTTTTGAATTCCTAATTTTACCAACATAAAACGTGCGGTTTTTTTTTCCAGCTCCTTCCGCGCAAAGGTTATAGACCCCGAGGACGCTCCGCCAGAGCGACTGGCTTATGTTCAACTATATATTGTATGTTGTATACATATAGGTATCGACAATATGGAAATAACTTTGCGGTATTTCGTCATGACCACGATTACCTCTTTGATCATATATATATACGGATCAAAGGAATATAGCGTTTATTTGTCTGCGCACGATCAACGGACGAATCTATATCGCACACGCAGAGGTTTGGACATTTGCATATCACATATAGAGAAAATCGGAAGCATTTCGGAGCACGCAGGGTTTTCGAAATGAAATCCATTAACCAGGGGTTCTCAACATTTTTTGCTGATTCAACTACTCAAGTCACCCTTATCCACGACAATCCAACACTACCATTAAAATAATATACATGATGTCAAACAATAAAAACTTTAGATTTAAAAAAGAAAGAAGAATGATCATTTAATAAAAAAAAAAACAACACGCAAAAAAATAATAAACACATTCGAATCAGTAGAAATGGATTAAAAATAGGGAGTTTGTGGTAAGCCCGTTTAGCGTACACAATTTTAGTAGCAGCAGCGGTATTGTTGAATGGTTGGAAAGAATTATATTAGGTTGTTCCGGTGGTCATGGCGATTACATATATGACAGCATAATACGATTTAAGAAAAAAAATTAAAAATCTCTTTTTCACTCCCCCCCCGGGAGGATTTCACCCCTACGCTGGGTTAGGAACCGAGACCGGCACGGGGTTTTTATTTTTCGGACGAAAATCAAATCGGTTATTTTGTCGATTTACCTGCCCGACACGGATCGAATAAACCAAAACCAACAAATTCAGAAGAAACGGGCAAAGCCGAGCAAAATAGTTTTCGAAATTACCATTTTAAACTATCCGTGTTATCAAGACGCGATATCCGAAACCGAATCCGGAACCGTAACAAAAAAAAAACGACGACGGGATGGCGTAATGGTGGCGATGAGGTCCATAACTCTCCCGAAATAAACCGTTATTCGTGAGACGCTCGTCTTCTTCGTCGTCGTTTCGCGGGCGGTCGAGTGACGACGACGATTCCGGCGAAAAACCATTACGTTTAAAATATAAATAATAATTAAAAAAACGGAGAAAAAACCGACGTTAAAAATATACATGACTGGAAAACGTTTGTGTGAAAATATAATCGTAATATCGACGGGCCCACCGCGGAGTTGCGCGATCTCGTTAAAAAAAAAAAAACCGACAAATTACGCAGAAAAAAAAAACAAAATTTTATTTATTTTCCTTCTTTACCGCACACAGAGCAGTGGCGCGCCCGGCTGCAGCAGCGGCAGAATCGATCCGTTAAATCGGTCCTCACGATGATTGTTCGTCGGTTTTTCGGCGAATCGCAACGAAACTGTCGGTAATAATATTATCGTTTTTTAAGATTTTTTTTTTGTTTTGTTTTTTTTTTTATTATTATTGTATTTGTCTATACATAATTCGAGGATTCGTGGAACGAACGCCGCGAGAAAAACAAAAAAAAACATTTTCAACGATATATTCCGTATAATGTTGTTGTTTGGTCGTTTGAGTAAACAATAATATATTATTATACCACAGTAAGTATACGAGAACTTGTTACCGGGGAAAGCTTAAAAGTCAATTCGATAAAGTCTTATAAATAATACCGTTTACATTTTATTTTCTTACGTTCTTATACCCGCGTAGTACTCCATGATACGGTTATATTATTTGTAAGAGATATTTTGTTTCCTTTTTTTTTTTTTTTTCTTTTCATAATTGGTATACGACTCGGATTGCGTTATTATTGTATACATAATACGGAATGTTACGTCATTGTATCCTCCCGCTTCGTCACAGTCGGAAAACTTTTATTTTTTCACCGATCGAGAAAATCTCTCGCCCGTTTCCTCTCTCTTATAATATATACCTCGTTCCTCGTCCTCTCGTCCTCTCTATATCTATCTCTCTCTCTCTCTCTCTCTCTCGCCGACGCTTTTAAATCAAGTTTAACACTACTTACCGTTATATAATAAGACTACTGTCCAGAGACGTACCCTAGGCCGTAGCTAGGGAGGAGGATACAGAAGCTATATAGATATCCACCCCTCCCGTGGGCAGCGTTTGTGTATATGCATACTATTTCACGAATCGAGTGTTAACTATACGTAATACGTGACCAGTTATTTCTTCCGCTCCGGAAAAAAAAAACGTTTCCTGCGTGTACACCGGACCGAATGGAAACGTATATTTGAAGAGGAACATTATGTCGGAAATCTAACGCAATGGCTAATACGAAACTCATAACGAAAACGATATAATTACCGCCTTGGCTCGAAATTCTCCTAGGAGGTTAGGCAATTGTCAGATGGGCGTATATTCTATGTATTTGGTTATGGATACAAGATATGCCAGGACATAATATATACACACATATATTAACACGTATATTACACACAAGTATTATGTTATAATCATACACATTGATGAAAATATTATTTAAAATATTTTTCGGAGGGGATGTCGAACCGCTCAATCCCCTCATATATCTACGCTCGAGATTTAAACAAAAACTTTTATCATCCCCCCCCCCCAATGCAAAATCCTGAAACGGCTATACGTCATTATGGTAAAACGCCGTTGGTACGAGTTAATCAATTTACAAGCTCTAATTTTATAGTAAAAAAAAAAAAAAACACGGCTTAAAAGAATCTGGCCTAACTTGCAAACACTTTTCAACGCTTAGATACGTGCACACAAATAAAAATGTATAATTTGCAGTGTGCAAAAAAAAAAGTTGTTTTTTATAGTTTGCGAATTTGTGAATGTATCGCGCAAGAACCTTGGAAAATAGTTTTGAACGGTCGAATACGGATTGCGGGTTTTTCGCTTATAAAATCACAATATGTGTTGCTAAAAACCATAAACGAGCGTATGTTTTTTTTCACAAAAACAACACTGGCAATATCCGTTTGTTTTTACAGCATATCTTCTTGTATACGGCAATTATCAGTACGCGTGTAAACGTTTCGCCGGAGTTCAAAAAAATAAATAAATAAAAAACGACATTAATCGCCGCGATACGAAAGACACCCAGTTTTTTTATTTTCATTAGTATTATTTATGAATGTAAATTTCGGTTTAATATACAACACAATAATTGTTCGCGCTTAATCAAAAACCTCGTGCGTGATATTACATAATAACATTATGCACTACAGCTAGTGTAATGTATTACGGCGGACGAAGAAATTTTTTTCATTGGCGTGGAGCCATGCGCAATTAGTCATTTTTTAACGTTCAATTTATTTTAACCTTTTCGTTTCGTTTGGTTTTTTTCGTTTTTTTTTTTTCATCATATGGTAAAATAAGAATAACCAGAGCAACGGCGGCGTATTTACCGCGAGCGATTATTTAAAAACACGAGGCGAAAATCTAATAATACCTATAATGTCCTTCCCCTCTCTCACTCACTATCTCTCACTCGCTCTGCTCGTCATCTACATAGACCGAACATGGAGCGCTCGTGATAATTCGAAATTTGAAATATTTTCGCGGCCTTTCAGCTGCGGTTAGGTCAGGTCACGTTGGATCGGGCTCCGAGCGAAAAGAACCCCGTCGACCGCGCAGTTATCAGTTCGATCGTATCGAATTATCGGACTCGGGCGTTTAGGAAAAACGTCCTAGTTATTATTTTTTAACATATTATTATTATTTTTTTATTTTTTTTTCTACCTATCGCCATTTATTCACATTTGTCCTGTTGGTGGTTGTATGACACGGAAATAAGAAATTACCCCGAAGCGCTCTTCGAAGTATTTGGTCGGAGCAAATTACGGCCGCGGGTCGAACACTAAAATATATTGAAACGTATTGCGCGAACGGTGCGCGCGACCACGGAAATCACGATTTTCCCGATGCGTTACCGTTGACCGGGATGTTCCGCGGGAAATTCAATACCGCCCGGGTATTCGCGCGTCGCTACACATGGCGTACGCCACTTAGACGGACGGACGCTGTATAATGCGCGCGGGCTAGAGAGCTGTCCGTCATACCGCGGCGATAATAATGTACCGGTCGCTGTTTATTTTATCGTTTGGAAAACAAAACGGTTTTCGATTGCACGGCTACAAACAAAAACACGACCGGCGGCGACGGGCGAGAATAACGACGACGACGGTAATAATAATAATAATAATAATAGTATAACGAGAGCGCGGCTTTGGTGCCGGGTAATGAAGATTTATGGGCGAGTGTCGTGACCTGTAACCGCGTGCAGCAGCGTCTACAACACATAATATTATAATAAAGTAGCAGTGTATTAAACGTTAACGTGTACGGTAATGGGCGGCGGCGGCGGCGGCGGCGGCGGTAATATAACAGTACCTACAGTGCCGACGACAACGACGTTATCCAGCGCCTAATAACACGGCCGCCGGTCGGCGTGCGTCCCCGCCCGCGCGTTAAACGTCCGATTGACGGGGACGGGGGGGGGAGGAACGACGGCGGCGGTGGAAACGATCGATTAGAGACGAGTGTAATTGTATTATTCGGAAAACAATACGGGGCGATTGGTGATGACGCGTTATGCGCGACCACGATTCGATCCGAACCTCTGCAGGGGCGTCGTTCGGGATGCGGCATACTCCCGGGATACGCTTATGATGCGTTTTCTTCATTCGAGTAACGAAGTGCTAATTTTTGATAAACAGCGAAATATCGGTTTTGTGGGTGTTCACGTTTTACAAAGAAAATAAAAAAAAAAAAAACATATTACGCGCGTTTATAACGGGGCTGTCGTTCGACCGAACGGTCCAATTATCACTGATGACGGGCTGATAGGACGTAGACGATATTCGTGGCCTCTATTCGTTTGGAAAATGCAAATTTCGTCGGGATACGAGGCGTCTCTCATTCTATTCACGATATTGTTTATATTGAGAGTACGCGATCGCGGGACCCTGTGTACACAATCGAAAATAAATGTGCGATGACGTCGAGAAAACGTATCATCGTTGAAAGCGTTTCCAATAAACGAACGCCGTGGTTCTCGAAATAACGAAATTCGTCAATTGATTCGTCAAAACAATTTTCCATCGCGTTTCGTTTTCTCGTCCGCCGTATTGACGGGCGCGATAATTATTTTTTCAACGTGCACTATTATTTTTGGGTCTTACCTGAGTTTCGGTGACGCCCAAGAGTTTGGCCATGTCGGACCGTTCCGACGATGACAGGTACTTTTTCAGCTCGAACTGTTTCTCCAGCTCGAATATCTGCCGCCCCGTGAACGTGGTCCGCGCTTTCTTCCGTTTCCGGTCCCCGCAACCGTCGGACGAGTGGCCGCCGTCGCTCTCGCCCGCCTGTTGTCCGGCCGGCGACCCGGAAGACGAGCTCACCAACAGGCCCGGCGACGACGACAGCGGCACGTCCTTCCGCGATCTCTTCCTTCCCGGCGGCACGGGGCCCGCGGCCGCGGCCGCCGCTGCCGCCGCCGCCGCCGCCGCCGCGGCCACCGTCATTGTGGTCAGCTGCACGTTAGTCGTGGTGGTCGGCAGCGGCGGCGGCGGCGGCTGCTGCTGCTGGTGATGATGGAGTTGCTGCGGCTGCATGTGACCGCTCGCACCGTGATTGTTGTTGTTGTTGTTGGTGTTGTTGTTCAACACGGCCGTCGGAATTATGTCTGCGAACACACGACACACGGTTTTGTATTATTATTATTATTATTATTATTATTGAATCGTTACGTTATGATTTTTACTGAACGCCGTAAACGGGGCCGAACAACCACCGTACACAGTCGCATAGGTACGCGTCGGCGCACATTACAGTGCTGTCAACTGCACGCGCGCGTATTCATTAGTATTTATACCGGAACCCCGCGAAAATAAATCGGCCGGCGACGGTGACAATATTATTTTCATAATTATCGCCGTGCCGGTATGTGGCACCGATAACATCGCCGCGACGATGAGCACGAGAGCGATACGTGATACGGTCGCCGTCGTTTTTCAATATTATCAACGGGACACCCGGGATGGCCGGATTAAGCAGTTCGCGGGCCGTAAACAGATTGGTCGAACGGGGCTAATTTAACCGTGTAAAAAAATCAATTAACGTATACAATACGTATTGGCGTTTAACGTATACTCCTACTCTATGCCGTACGAAATTCGTCCCGGCGGGAAAAGTGGGAAGGTAAAAACCGAAATAAAATATGACGAGTGGTAAGTTTTACTTATTATTATTATTGTCAATAAACGTGTGAAATTTAAAAAAAAAAAAAACTAAATCGAAAATAAAAATAGACCGGCTCCAACACCGTCGGATGAATGATCGTTACATATTTGTATTAATATTGTTAAATTTTTTTGATATAAATCCCAGCCGTTTTCGGGCTGAATTATTATTTTTTTTTTGACCGTAAACACTGCTTATTTTGCTCGCAGGTAAATCCGGCCTTGGGAAGGGATACGCTGTAGTATGAGGCGCACAACATTATGAAAAAAATAAAAAAATAAAAACACGCGGTTATATAGAGGTTACGATAAGGTTTATCGGTTTCAATGCACATTATCGACATGGAATAATAATAGTAACACGGATAGTTCTACGGCGACGACTGCAGCGCCAATGAAAAGTTCACGTGAACACTGCGCTAAATTATAATATTAAAATGTACGGGTACGCAGTGTTGTATGCAAAACGTTATATAATATTATGCGAAACGGTGTATTAAAATACGGTTCGAATGCGATAAAAACACACCAAACATATATATATACATACGCACACTTAATGAAGCACACAAATACCCGAACCGAAAAATGTCCGAAACGTATTTCGCGGCATTTCATGTCACCACTGCGGAAGACAAAAAAAAAAAAAAAAAATTGAAGAAACCTAATTTTTTTCTTTTCTGTTACGAATATAAACAATATGTCTGCGGACATAGATGATAATATAAAGAGCCCGATTTCATACGTTACCGTCTTTTCGGTCGGCACGAAGCGCGCCTCTATACTGAAACGACCAGTCATAAAAATAACACACGATGGTTTCAGATTTTGCGAATGATATTATTACAGTCCCCGACGTTGAAACGATTTTTGTTTTATTTTTATTTTTTCACTAGTATAAACTCGTCCGAGGCACGAATTCGGAGATTTTAATATTACATATGTCCGACCCCCTTGATATAATATCAGGGAGGCCGGACGCGACTATCCAAGGCTCGTCCACTTGATCCACTGCCCATCATCCGATTCGGCCGTTTTTTACGAACGACTATGACGTTTTAGACCAATAATAACAAATAAAGCGAAATTCAACGTTATCCGTCATTATTACCGCGCGGCCAATTTTAATTTTGAAAACCTCTCTAAGTTTCTCGTCTATGTTCTGTACAGAACGTCTGTTCGATTCTTCGATTATTTAGTTGAGATACCATGCATGAGTTTACTTTTTTCGCACTAAAATTAACTCGCGGACACAAAAAAAAAAAGTAAAACAGAAATTGGACTACTTGAAGTACGTTTATTTTACTTCGGCTAATGGTATACGAAAAACAAATTTCGCTTAAAACAGCCTTAACCGGTTTCCGGTCGCCCTCGGAATCGTCGTCCGAGATCCGTCACCCTACGGGCCATCCCTTTTTTTTTATTGCGACGTCCCCGGTTTGAAACACTACGGATTTCGAAACGCACGCTGATCCACCTGGGCTTGACTATTCGATTTTATTTCAGTGACGCAATTACGGGGTGCAGATACCGAGAGGCGATAGATAACGCGGGAAAAAATGTATTGTTCCCGGGAAAAAAATCGTATAATTACACGCTGTTACTTCGGTAAGTAAAACAGTATTCCGATTTTTTTTTTTTATCCGACGACTGTTCAAATAATTATTGCAACGTGTTTTGTTCTAAAGGTTAAACATAGCAGGTATCGTTTGAGAAAAAAATAATTTAGATAAAACGTTTCATAACTGAGCGTGATATTTGTTTTTGTTTGTATGTACAATATTAATGGTCAATTAAAAACGCAACATAATGCGATAATTTTTTGATATTCTTTACGTAGAAAGTTATCTTAATAATTGGTAAAAAGGTAAAATGTACGCGATAACAAACTCTTTTCGATTTTGATTTTTCGGTTATAATACGGTTAGAAATAAAGGTCGCGGACCTGAAATTTTCAACAAATGCTTAAATTAGCCGTTACTTTACGTGGGTAAATTTTCAAAACTTTTCACACTTTTTTTGTAGTTATTCGTAGCTATTTGAAATGTTTTAATTCGATTTTACGTGGATACAACTGTTTTTTACCGTGCAGCTATGTTAGAAAGCCTCAAAAATTTAACACGAGGTCATGAGTTGCAACGAGTGGTAAAAAAAATCGTAACTTAGTGAAATGTAAATATTCCTTTCCGACTTCCCGCTTACTGTGATACGCCAATCAGCTGTATTCAAAAGCTTTAACTTAGTTTTTATTTTTAATGATTTTGTTTTTTTTATGTATATTTGTTATTTGTAACATGGTTACTCGTGTAAATTAATTTTTAAACAAACAGCCGATAAACAAATATACACGCATTGATTATAATATTTTAATATCAATATAATCAAAGATATTATCTACAACAAAAATGATCACAATAATATATGTTTTTACCGTTGAATAATGTTTCGAGTCGTTCGAATAACACGGTACTAAATAATTCGTTAAAATATCATTGGCAATATTATGTTTTGTTTTCGAGATGTAAATAAAAAGATTGGTAAGGTACACCGTTTCGTGGCCCATTTTTCGCACATTCATTCAATAAAAAAAATTAATTTACGAAACGAATTCGTTAGTGCACAATACGAAGTTCGCGATTCTAATGATTGCGAGAAAAAAAAACCGATATCGAACATTTAATAAAAAAAAATATCGAATAAATTATCGCTGCGGTTCGCCATACAAAAAGGCGCACTCGCATATCGGATTTAGATTCTGAACGAAGCGAGCAAATGGTATTGGCTACACTACGCGTGTTTTTCTTATTTGTGTCTGTAAACAACTTTTCCACCGGAAATCTTGTTTAAATTCAATACTTCAAAAGAACTTTTTAGTAGCGTTATTTTGTTCAAATTGGT